CGCTACCGGGACGCGACACGGGGTTTTCCCTGTGTAGACCAAAGAGACCGATTAAAATGAGGGTTTTCGCGAGTTAAAAATCCGCCAGATGGCAATACGTAGACGGGAGGTCCAAATGCTGCGTGATTGGTTATTTTTGACATGACATTGACAGATATATCAAAATCCACCAATCACGCAGCATTTGGAGCTCCCGTCTACGTATTGCCATCTGGCGGATTTTTTTAAATCGCGAAAACCCTCATTGCTCCGAAAAATGGTCAAACAGTGAACGTTACAAAACATGGTTGCAGGTATGAGTCCACGTCAAAGACATTTTAAAACAGGTCAACGGTTATAGTTTCGGCCAAACCGACGCGTGCGGCTCGCGTCGGCGATGGCGATCACTACGCGTGCATAATTATTAATTATATTGTTCTGATCGATGACAAGACGCGTCAATGTGAACTCAACTGTGAACATGAGTTCAATTCATCGCTACAAACAAATTCATTTTATACATCTGCGGGCCTAAAAAGGCCGCTTTGAGCAATTCTTATTAGATTCATAATATGATTCAGATTTAAAAACACAAAATGGCCACTTGTCGGCAATTCATATTAGGATTCGGATACAATTCATATTCGGCAATTCATTTATTTGACAGTTTTGTATGAGAAATCGTAAAATGGTCCACAAAATAGGAATTGCTAATGTGTCAATTAGCAGAATCATAAGAAGTTACTCGAGAGCAACATTTTACAATTCAGCTAGTTTGTAATTTCAAAAAATAAATTAATAATGGATGATTTAGGCCTTTATGTAAACTTTTGGGAGCACGCCCGTATTATGGAAAGTGTTTTACATCGTCTAGGCTAGTATGGGGTGTTTACAAAGGGTGCTTTTGACTTAGAATTGAGTAATATAATTAGAAATAGAAATGCATTATAAAACTTCAAAATATTTGTCGAAAAATGTGTACCTATACCTCAATCGATTCTTACAAGTATTAAGTAGGTACCTACCTAATTTAAATCCTATAGTAAATAACTATCAAGGTATGAGTCCACGATTTAGGGGGAGGGTTGAGGAGGGTAGGGAGAGGGTAGCTATTTAAAAGCAAAAAATTAAACCGACTCCAAAAAACCTACACTAAAAGGTAGAAAAATAATTACTAATTACTTATTTATTATAACGAATTAATATAATTATGTAGGTATACCATGATTGATACTTCTGGAGTTGGTGCCAAGATTATGAAACGTGTGAAGTTTGCCTGCACTGCACTTGCCTTTTTTTAAATAAAATTTAACTCATTTCTTGCTTTTTAGTTAACTAATTATTACCTTGATGTTACTACTGAAGGTAGGCAGTACATTGAGACCATATTCTTCATGTCTAGTGTAAATAATATTCCCTACAAAATACAGATCGGCAACCTAAAAAGACCTTAAACCGTCAGCCCACCTTAAAAACATGAATACAACTGTTGGTCTATTTGTACCTATAATATTTAAAGAATTATCCTCCAACTCCTAAGCATTAAGGAGTTGTACCTACCATGTTCATCATGATGAGATGATGACTATATGCAAACACTTGAATAACTTTATAAACTATACTTATCTATAAAATTAAAAGAATTATCCTCCAACTCCTAAGCATTAAGGAGTTTTGCCTTCTATCATCAGCTCATCAATATGAGATGATGATTTCCAGGAGCAAATACTTGAATAACTTATGAAAAAGTTTGAAAGACGATATACGTGCCTATAAAATTTGAGGGTTGCCCTCGATTTCCCTAGGATCCCATCATCAGATCCTGACTTGGTGACAATGGGACCACCTCAGAAGTGAACACTATCGAACAAATAAATAATTTTGAAAATCGGTCCACAATTGACGGAGTAATCGGTGAACATACATAGAAAAAAAAACATACAGTTGAACATATTATAACCTCCTCCTTTTGAATTCGGTTAAAAAAATATAATTAGCTGGATCACTATTCAATATTAAGAGGATATAAGTATTTTCTTTTATGTTTGAGTTCTATTTTAAGATAAAAGTGCATAATCTTTTGAAGGACACTGAGTTTCCACAACAAAATGCATAAACGAAACCTTGCACAATCCCTCCCTATCACACTAAGCGAATATTGTTTCTTTTGTCAATAACATAAATAACGCTTGGAATGTATGTCAACCACTTAAAACCTTGATTTATCGCCTAAATCATAAGAGTTTAGTTCAAGCATAATATTCCGTGTCATAAACAATAGTATTGTTTACATTAACTTGACCTTCATTATGTCGACACCTAACTTGTTGCCAGTCGTAAATAAAATAGTGAATGATTTTTTATTTCTCATTTTTGGCTTCTAAACTCAAATATTTTGATGTTATTAAATTACTTTTATTAATTTAAAACAAGATATGAGGTAATTGTTCAAGATTTTCAGTTTAAAATGTAAAAAAAGTCGTAGAAATGATAACCGGTAAAGTACGGTTTTTATTATTCACATGTGGCAACATAGACGCCGAATATGAATCTGCGGATGAATTGAATTGCGGCAATTCTGCCAAAATGTAAGACCATTTTATGAAAATTAGAGGAATTGCTTATGATCTGCTATGAATTCTGGAAATGAATTCCTTTTAGCAATGTTGCGTGATTTGGCCTTTTTAGGCCCGCTGATAATCGTGGTTTGGCCGAACCTTAACTTTTTAAAGTTTTGTTCTTAGGCCCGGTTTTTTATTCTTAGTTAAAATAACTAATTGTTAAATTTTGCTTCTAATGGTTAAATATTAACAAAATGTAAACAAACAGTTAAAAAATGTACTGTCGGGCCTGTGTGACAAATGAATGCGTGTTCACTGACCGGTGCCTCCTGGTAGGACTCATGACGGAGATGGTGTGCGAGCGCTTGGAGCGCGCCAGCGGCGGCAGGTCGGCGCTGTGGCCCGCGGGCCCAGCGCTGGGTCCGGGCCCGCCGGAGCTGCTGGGCCCGGGCCCGCCGGAGCCGCTGGGCCCGGGGCCGCGCGGGGCAGCCGGCGGCTTCAGCGAGGACGTGCTTGTCGTCACTGTGCTGTCACTTGCCGTCTGCGATACAAGACAGTGCATATTAATTTCAAGGAGAAAGGAAAGATGCAATGTTTCAAATGGTGCGCGTATAGTAACTGACATAATGAAACAGATAAATGAAACGAGTTGCAATTACCTTTTGTAACTGATGGTGTGCGTTAGAATGTGTGATGCCTTTCGTCGTACTGTTGCTGTCCGGTTGTGCGTCCACTGTGCCTGACACAAAAAACAATATTGATTTATTTGTTGAATTTTCTCACCTTACATATTCTATCTAACCAAAAATATACAAGACTGGCATGTGCCATGGCCGTTAAAACTTTTATTTTGAAAGTAGACTACAGAGCTCTCGGCGCAATGTTGTAGATGTATCGAAACGCTATCATCGCGAGCGGCGAGGTGCCCGACATCTGCTCGGGCGGCTCGCACGCTGCCGGGCTCGCTGCGAGCGGGAGGGACTCACCAGGGTCGGAGTTGTACGTGAGCAGCAGCGGGTGCGCGGCGGGCGCGAGCGGCGAGGTGCCCGACATCTGCTCGGGCGGCTCGCACGCTGCCGGGCTCGCTGCGAGCGGGAGGGACTCACCAGGGTCGGAGTTGTACGTGAGCAGCAGCGGGTGCGCGGCGGGCGCGAGCGGCGAGGTGCCCGACATCTGCTCGGGCGGCTCGCACGCTGCCGGGCTCGCTGCGAGCGGGAGGGACTCACCAGGGTCGGAGTTGTACGTGAGCAGCAGCGGGTGCGCGGCGGGCGCGAGCGGCGAGGTGCCCGACATCTGCTCGGGCGGCTCGCACGCTGCCGGGCTCGCTGCGAGCGGGAGGGACTCACCAGGGTCGGAGTTGTACGTGAGCAGCAGCGGGTGCGCGGCGGGCGCGAGCGGCGAGGTGCCCGACATCTGCTCGGGCGGCTCGCACGCTGCCGGGCTCGCTGCGAGCGGGAGGGACTCACCAGGGTCGGAGTTGTACGTGAGCAGCAGCGGGTGCGCGGCGGGCGCGAGCGGCGAGGTGCCCGACATCTGCTCGGGCGGCTCGCACGCTGCCGGGCTCGCTGCGAGCGGGAGGGACTCACCAGGGTCGGAGTTGTACGTGAGCAGCAGCGGGTGCGCGGCGGGCGCGAGCGGCGAGGTGCCCGACATCTGCTCGGGCGGCTCGCACGCTGCCGGGCTCGCTGCGAGCGGGAGGGACTCACCAGGGTCGGAGTTGTACGTGAGCAGCAGCGGGTGCGCGGCGGGCGCGAGCGGCGAGGTGCCCGACATCTGCTCGGGCGGCTCGCACGCTGCCGGGCTCGCTGCGAGCGGGAGGGACTCACCAGGGTCGGAGTTGTACGTGAGCAGCAGCGGGTGCGCGGCGGGCGCGAGCGGCGAGGTGCCCGACATCTGCTCGGGCGGCTCGCACGCTGCCGGGCTCGCTGCGAGCGGGAGGGACTCACCAGGGTCGGAGTTGTACGTGAGCAGCAGCGGGTGCGCGGCGGGCGCGAGCGGCGAGGTGCCCGACATCTGCTCGGGCGGCTCGCACGCTGCCGGGCTCGCTGCGAGCGGGAGGGACTCACCAGGGTCGGAGTTGTACGTGAGCAGCAGCGGGTGCGCGGCGGGCGCGAGCGGCGAGGTGCCCGACATCTGCTCGGGCGGCTCGCACGCTGCCGGGCTCGCTGCGAGCGGGAGGGACTCACCAGGGTCGGAGTTGTACGTGAGCAGCAGCGGGTGCGCGGCGGGCGCGAGCGGCGAGGTGCCCGACATCTGCTCGGGCGGCTCGCACGCTGCCGGGCTCGCTGCGAGCGGGAGGGACTCACCAGGGTCGGAGTTGTACGTGAGCAGCAGCGGGTGCGCGGCGGGCGCGAGCGGCGAGGTGCCCGACATCTCCTCGGGGATGGCCTCGCAGGAGACGCGCATGTCGCTCTTCTTGGCCGCCTTCTTGCACGCGTGCAGCGACACCGCCGTGCTCCTGGAACATTGTTGACAGACTGACAACGAGTATCTTTTGTTTTATTATCGTCACCGTCGACAACAGTACAAGTATGTGTGAGTAGTGTAGTGTGTGTCTCACGCGGGCTCGCTGGGCAGCAGGATCATGTCGTCGGGCTCGGGCGCGCGCTCGCCCGCCTTCCACGACGACGACATCTCGGGCGACGAGTTGGAGCGCCGCACCGGGTGCCGCGACTTGCCCTGCCACCACACACCACGGTTAACATCGAACGATGAAACATGGAAACAGTGACGTCATCGACTTGTATTGACATAGTGTCCATCGAACTAACTATTCTAATTCTGTCGTATCAATAAAATGCAGTTTTCAGCAACGTATTCCGTCTATTTTTCCCCAAGTTAACAGCAATAAAAAAGCGAACATCGAAAGTCAATAGACAATATAAAAACATAGCGTAAAAAGTATACATATTTATAAAAGAGTGTCCATTCGTGGACACATAGAGTGCCAAAATTATAGGAAAATTGCATTTTGACAGCTCAAAAACAGTACGTCGTCGTCAAATGACAAGGTTGCATTACAGAAAAAAATATTTAAAAGGGTAAAATAATAGCAACGGCCAATAAGCTAACGGCTAAGTAGAAGCTGCAAAGATGAGTTTATCAGTGAAGGTAAGGGTCACCTCGGGGATGATGAGCAGCATGTCGTCGTCGTCGGTGGTGCTGGACGACGACTGGCGCTGCGGCGAGCCCGGGATGTTGATGGGCTGCGTGCTCATCCTGCGGCACATCACACATAATGACCTACTGTTGCACACTTACGAAGTATCGAATGACTGAAGATTGCTTTTGTATCTCGAGCAGAGAAGAATAAATCGATAATTTTTTACATCCCTTGTACGCAACTAAGGAGCGTACATTAGTTGAGCTGACAGGTTAATCGAACATCAATTTTGATAAAACACAAGTAGGCTTAGGATGCGAGCAATTATATCGATTTTGCGTGATATACATTTTGATGTCTAAAATCATCGATAAGATATCGTCAGTTGCCGGTTCACTTGGGGTAACTGACAAAATGCGGTTTTTGAGTTAAATATACAGTTTTTCTTAGTTTTTTCTGCTTTTTCGAATGGTATACGTAAAAAAATTCTAGCTTTAAAAAAATTACAATTACACGGATATTTTCAGGTGTGAACTTTTCAGATTTCCTTCAAAATTTTGGTGTAACTGACATTGTAATAATTTTACCAGGTTGAATTGGTGTATCTGTAATAATGTAAAAATTTTGCTACAAAACTTTGCAATTACACTGATTTGCTAAGGTTTATAACATGAAATAAAATAGGAATTTAGAAAGTTTTAAGGCATATTACATTATTATTATACCAGCAGTATCAGTTAAAGAAGTTAAAGTTAGCTCAACAAAAAAAATAATTGAAATTGAGCAACTATCCAGCCAACTAGGCGTCACTGCGCGTTGCTAACATTAACCTGTTGTTACTCTGTTACTTTTACTGTTGTAGTACTCATGACCTTAATTCAACATTGCTATAAAGAGGTGGGAAATTAAATCCATTTTGTTTTCAGTTTAAGTTGCCCCGTAGAGCTAAATACGGTATTGGTAAGTCAAAGCTTAAAAAAATATTGAAATTACTTAGTTTCACAGTAATACTTTAGTTATTTCAATATTTTTGTCTTAAAAAAATTAAATACACATATTTTCATGATTCCCATGGCTTTTTTTTAACATTTTTTAATGAATAAAATAAAAGTTACTTCTAATAAAATAAAATAAAAAACAAAGAAAACGACAAAATGTATTTTTTTTCATGAATTCTCTTATTTTTTAATACTTTTACATAAATTATACAGCAACTAAGTAAACAAAACCCAACAAAAACATCAAATTATTTTAATTTGGGCAGTACTTACACCAATTTGACCTATGTTTTTTCCAAAAGTATGGTGTAAAATTAGTGTAACTGTCAAAAGTACAAAAATACATTGGTGTAACTGCAATTTATTTCCTTAACTAAGACATATTAGATAATTCTTTTTCTAAGCATTTCTGTAAAAACAGATCCAAAAAAGGTTAAATAGGAAAAAAGTTATGTCCGATTTAAGACGAAAAAAAACTTTAAACGGCTCTACTGAAAAACTGTATTTTGTCAGTTACCCCAAGTGAACCTGCAACTGACGATATTATCACGGCGCGCATCCTAGTCAGGCAGGAAGCTCTTGGCCTGCATCTCACCTGATGGGAAGTAATGAATAAAAAAAATACACCTTATAATTTTTTTGGCAAATACATTTGCCAAACATTCGTATCATTTCTTGCGAATACGAAGTCAAAACATTATAAATATTAGTTACGATTGTAGTGTTACTGCGTACCTGAGCGGCTGCGGCGGCTGCGGCTGCGGCGGCACGATGCAGTGCGAGGCGGCGTGCGGCGGCTTCTTCTCGCTCGCCACCACCGAGTCCGAGCTGCAACAGCGCCAACAGCGCGCGGTCAGTGCCTACTACTGACGTTGGAGGTGTATACTACATGGGTTTCATTACTCATTCACGCACGAAACGTAGGTACAGTAGAACGCCGATTATCCGAATTAATTGGGCCCGGGGTAGATTCGGATAATCGGACATAGACTGGTAATAGAGAAAAACGAACTGTCACACATAGAATAAAATTTAATAAGTTTAATAAACAGATATATTTCTACTTTGCGTTATTGTAGAACTGCTAAAATAACGCTCAGATTAAATATATCCGAGTTCCAACAGAACAAATGTAAAAATACTTGTTTTTAATTTTTTATATTACGCTTAGGACTGATTCGGATAATTGGCGATTCGATTAATCGGCGTTTGGATAATCGGCGTTCTACTGTATTTAGTTAAAAGTTAATGGGTATAAAAACATCAGATACAAAATAATATACACAAAGTGAGTTCAAGTATTCTAAAAGTAATCTGTACTTAATACTTATTATTCTGTGCATCATGATGTATGAATTATGTACAAATAGTATGTAACTTTATTTACAATGGGTTTAAAAAACGCATCAGTCAGTACATTTAAAAATAAAAGGTCGTTACTCAACAAACAACTACCCATGACTTCCACCCACCAGCTAGGCGTGCACGTGTTACCTGGACTTGTGCAGGTCGGGGTGCGGGCTGGCGTGCGGGCGCGAGTGCGACGACGCCGAGCCGCTGCGCGAGCGCAGGTCGCTCTCCGAGCCCTGCGGAAACAACATAAGTGTCTAAACCACAACTAAACTGTAGCTGTAGATCCTGGCTACATAGGAGTTGCAGCGGTGAGAACAAGAGGTGGGAATCGTCTCGTATATGACAAGCAAATATAGTTCCAAAATACTGAACTGTCCTATCCATGACATTGACAGCGTGGCGCCACCGTCAATACCGGATCGCTGGTTTCGATTTTTGACATGTTGGAAACCATACAGTTGAACGATGGTAGCGCACCCCTGTCATTGAGTTTGGTGGGACAGTTCAGCGTGGGTCATCTATAGTGTTCTGCGAGATGACGGCTGTCGTTTTTATACTGAATAGTTGGCACCACTGGCGATTGACAGGACTCGTCTCTGACGCCGTCATGGTGAGTGTAACTGTAAATGCGATAAACCACCTACCGTTTCAACGCTCACAGGTTGGCACCACTGTTTTTGCCACTAGCAAGCGACAGTGACCTTATCTACAGTGGTGTCGACTGGATACTAAAAAGAGCCCTCATTGGATAAATAAATTAAACTAAGTTGTCTCACAGTTACAACTTTTTGCAAATATCTGGTATAATGTCAAAATAAAAAAAAAATCAAAATCAAAAATATTTATTCAGTTTAGACCACAAGTGGCACTTATGAACGTCAAAATGTAAATAATAAAAAAGAAAATGTAGTCCATATGGGGCACTTTACATGTCTTCTTATCTTTTGGGCCCTACCAGCGCTTCGAGACAAACAAATGGGTCATTGCAATCTCCGAGGATCCTAGAGGATGCAGACTGCAGCAGGCTACCAGACGATCACTACGACGGTGTTCTCTGAAGACTAACGGGGGTTCCAGCAGTGAGAGAAGAGACTCGGGCATGTGTCTCAGCGCAGTGAAAAGGAGAGACAACTCACATGGTCGAGGCGCGAGTCTCCGATTCCGCTGGAAGCCGACGAGGGCGGCGGCGGCTCGGGTGAAAGTAACGCCGCCACTTCTTCTAGCGGCCACTCCAGCATGTGGTCCCAGTTCAGCTGGAACATGCAAGCATAACGTTTAACAAACTCGAGACGATATGAGCAGACCTGTTCATCTCCCTGAGTAGACATCGAAAATCCATAAGCGATTAGTGAGTGAAATACGTGCGCGTATTTTTCAACCATTATAAAAAATAATATTCGCCATGGGAAGAAGAAAAAATACGCATGTGTGCTAACTGACGACACAGTAGCTTCTTGGAGCAGTCATTCCTATCGTATTGGCACAGTACCGATCTCTGATGCATGTAAACGAAAAGGTGCTCGACTCTGAGATAAGCTAAATTACACCATGTGGTTGATTGAAATTTTTGTAACGGTAAATAAAATACCCTCGCGATGTTTCGGCTCGGTTGCACGAGCCATGGTCGCGGACAGACTGCAGAGATGCGGCGTCGCACAACATAATAGTTTAAAATATTATGTCGTTGACGACATTGACTAGACATTTTTTGAAATATCTTCGCAAGGAAATCTAGTACCTACATATTTATTATTATGTGGTATGAGAGGCATTTGATAACTTTCTGACTCTAATGCAGTAAATGTAAAAATGTGTGATACCGACCTGGTTCTGCACGCGCAGCACGAAGGAGAGGTCCCCGGTGGGCGCGCGCACGTGCACCTCGGCCCAGTTGGCGCACCAGCACGGGCACGCCGTGCTTGCCACGCCGCCCACGCGCGACCAGTTCGGGTCCTCCGTGTCCTGCGAACACAATCGCGTGATTTCATTAGCGCAAGCGTATGGGGCGAGAACCGCGCCACGTGTGATCTAAAGGCTGAGTTGCACCACCTTATTTTAACCGTAACACTAACCGGTGTTTTTTGTATGGAGTTCGACAGATTTTTGACGTTAGTCAAAGTTTAAGTAAAATGGTGTAACCCAGCCTAAGTCCACAAATCCCTACAGATTAGTGGTACCGCTAGTGATAGTTAAAAAAACATTAATGGCGAAATGAAATCATTTACTTTCTTTTAGCATGATATTTTGTGTGTTTCGGACTCGACTGTCATTGATATGACGCTGACATTCGCTAGCACATCTATTCGAATTTGGGAGTTGAGAAAGTTTTTATCCAAACAAAGGTCTCAATATTCTTCTTTCTTCAATATTATAATAAAAAATATATCTCTGAACCATAACCAGAGTGAAAAGGCATTTGAAACAAAGGAATACAGATAATGCTTGGCTACTGAATACTGGGGTTAATAAACTTACAACTTCTTTGGATATTCTTTCGAACCGCTGCGTGAACTGGTTGAGCACGTCCGCCACGTGGTCCATCGTCTTGTTGTTCTCCGAAGAGTTTTGTCTGCAACACAAAGAACGGTCATCCCACGCAATAACGAAGTTTCTCTAAATTTTTCTTGTCTTTAAGATTAGGCAAATGCTCTGGCAAAATATCAGATGGAACAATAAAACTAACAAACTACTTTGACTTAGCTCAACCAATTTGAGAACTGCTACGCTCTTTTTAAAATCTGTTGATGAGCATGTCCATAAAGACCATTCAGTAAAAATACATAATTTTTATCTACTACTTCTATTAATACTTATAATAATTTGTATAAGAAATACAATAAAAATGATATGAGATGTCAATAACATATTATGAGACCAGACTGCGGGCGTAAACAGGAAAATGATACAAAGAAATCAAAATCGTGCATATTTTTTTCTTAAATTATGAGTTAGCATGCTATCATATAATATTCCTAAAAATTAAATCGTGCTAGTTAGGTAAAAATGCCTACGTTTGCGCGCTACGGTTCAGGCCTAGGAATGTACATACATTAATATTTTTCTAATGTAGAGGAGAAAAGCTAACTCATTCTACTAATGAGTTCGGTGAAATATGTGAATCTGTGGGATTACTAATGTTTGGCCAAAAAACGTTTCCCAAATTATCACATCGCAAACAACGTTTCGCAAATTTTAATTTGGCAAAACAACGTATTGCAAACTTTTAATTCGCAAATGTCGTTTTTGGCATATTAGGGGAGAGTTCGGTATATTGTACCGCCGGGTAAATTGTACCACCCTCATATTTCGTAAAGTATTTATTGAATGTCTGTAATTGCAACACTCAGCGATACACAACTAAAATCAATTAATATCGGCCATGTGGTTTTTGCCGTGACAACAAACACGTGTGTTTTATTTTGAAAAGTATTTTTTCATTGTTTTCAGGTAACTTTTGACAATACATGTTTAGATTGTAATTTTGTTAAATTTAATCACAGGGTGTTTTTAATATATTATTTAGAAGCGTAAATTAGTGTGGATTACAATTATTTGAAACATTTTTCGGTATTTATAAGCTATATTTTTTACCGATTTTTTAAAAGCACCATCACCTAGTCGGCTAAATTGTACCACATCAAGTTGTATGGAACTTTACCAAAGGATTTTGAAAATTTTTTTAGTAAATCATATTTTGAAGTTATAATAGCGTAGTTATGTTTGACTAACAATAAATGAAAGCAAAAGACTGGCAAAGTAGATTAGGTACAAGTATGCGTTACGATAATTGGAATTACAAAACTTGGCTCGCACAGCACTACGTACCTACAATTTTATTCACCTACAAGTTTTGTCTCTTTCTATCGCGTGCCTCTGAACTCTTCTTACGCTGTTAGGGTTGCTGTCTAGTGAAAAAATAATTAATTTACTTATTTGTAATGAGGTACGTATGTAGGTAAGTACGCATTCATTATGGAAAACCTTGGGAGAGGCCTTTGTCCAGCAGTGGACGTCATTTGGCTGAAACGAACGAACGCATTCTGAGCAGTCATGGTAGGTTAGGTTCCTATACTATCCTAAGAATTATTGATTACCTACAATGACCTACATGGCCAACATACCTTTCAGCATCTTTGGGAAGCGAAAAGAAAAGGTAGATTTCTTTTCGAATTTAAACACCCGAACGCCGCACAATAATTATTTCCCTTTATGTCCATTTTTAAATAATACTTCGATCATAGAATTAGGTACTGCAACGCACGCCAGCGTGCTGACGGGCGCGCGCGTGACACTCGACTGATATAATACCCGCCGGCGGGGCGCTTCGCTGTAGGTAATTATCGGATGTACCGCACGGAGTGAGCCAGGCCTGGTATCGTATAATATTTTGCCATAGTTTTTTTAAAGGCTTAAAATTTATTGAAATCCAATTTAGTAACTCTGTGGTACAAATTATCGAACCGGTTGGCTAAATTGGACCGAAGCTTTGAACTCGTACTTTGTTGATTTGTGCTAAATATACAACAATCATGTTAATTAATACTTATGAAATAGTAAGTTGTATAATGTATCTTTTATTATATACCATGGACATTAGCAAAAACAAAAGAAAACTATGTGTAAAATGGGATTGAAAAAAACTGGTCCAAATTAGCGGACTCTCCCTTATTGTTTAGCAAATTATTGTTTGGCAAAGTATGTTTTACCAAATGTTTCATTTGGCAAAAATATTTCACAACAAACTATTTACAAAATAATTTGATTGGTGCATAGAATGGAATACAAATTAGCTTGTGGTTATTTATTATTTTGTTTAGTGGGTAGTTAATATAAAATTTGTTCTAAATTAATTTTCATATTTCATTATTTTTATAAAAAATTACAAATGATTCATTAACAATAGAGGTGATTCTGGCGCTCGGCGGCCGCTGCCGCGGCACGCTCGCTCCGTTTGCTCGCCTTCGCGCGTTTAGGGTCACTGTTCTAACCTAACCTAACCTACTATTTTCTGCAACCATACTATTTTCTGCAATCTCTTTGTTTTACATAAAATTCTTGTGAAAACCATGATCATGTGCCATACCATATGCTTTGATTTGAGGGTAACGGTGGGTAAATATGTGAAGTGTCAATTTGACCAAACAAATTATTTGGGATATAATATTTGGCAAAATAAAACATTTGCTATATGAACATTTGCCATGTAAAAGTTTGCCAAATGATAATTTGATCAAATGAATTAGTTGCGAAAAGTACAGTTGCTAAAAGTTTATTTGGGAAATGAAACTTTGGCGATAAGTTGTTTGCGAAGTGAAATTTGGCGAAGAGTAATTTGGCCAAACGGAAGGATACCGAATCTGTGTTAGTAGATGCATAATTCTTCCGCTCAAGTGCTACGTCAGCCGGAGAACGGCTAATCATGATTGGCGATCTCGTGGCGTTTGCACATCGTGCGCATGAGTCGTGCAGGCAAGCGTGAGAGGAGGCGTGAAGTGGGCGGGGCGGGTGGGGCGAGGGCGCACACCTGGTGGTGTGTCCGCTGGAGGGCGGCTGCAGCGGCTCGGAGATGGACAGCGACGAGCTGGAAGTCTCGGTGGAGCGCGAGTGCTGCAGCGAGTGCTTGCTGTAGCTGCACACACACGCACGTCAAGTGGCTGCCCGCCAGTATGCTACGCGACGCTAAATAGCTCCCTCTTTAGGATTGGCACGGAGCGGATACTTAAAAATCTGACTGAGGCCCTCCTGGGCCTCATTTTACCTATTCTATCAAGGGTGTACTGCCAGACACATGCACGTCAAGTGGCTGCCCGCCAGTATGCTACGCGACGCTAAATAGCTCCCCTCTTTTGGTCAGGTACGATGTGGATACTTACAAATCTGACTGAGGCCCCCCTGGGCTTCGTTTTACCTATTCTATAGAGGGTGTTCTGCCAATAATATTTACTGATTGACATCGAATGTCAAATTCGATTCCCTTTGATATTTGTCGTGCCGTATGACTTTAATATTTTTAGTAAAACAGATCGCAGCTAAAATAGTGTGAAAACCCGCCAACAGTAGGACAACATGCCTTTATTCACCTTCACCAGTTAGTAAATACACCATGATAAGTACATATGTTACTGATTGTGCCTCGTTTTAAAACTTCCTATTTTACATTAGTCAGTAAATGCGAGATTTATGAACCAAACCTAAGTGAAACTACACTGTTATTACAACTATAGTTGATATTACTCGTGTCAGTGAAGCCAAAGCTAATACTCATTACAATGTTGGATAGTTTATCAAAATTGTAACTGGATTCTCTTCGTTTTTAGATAGCTAGACTTGTTCAAGGGTTTTGTACAAATGAAGGAGCAACTTACCGTTTGACTTCGGGCTGCAGGGCGCCGTTGCTGTCGCCGGCGCTGTCGCTGACTTGCACCTGCGAGCGGCACGGTTTACTTTAGGAAACTTATATTTTCTACTACAGTGGGTTGTCAAATGACCCAAAATTAAAAAATAAGGAACAAATTAATAATGAACGACACTTTTTATCTTGAAGGAAATTATAAGCTAATACCTACGATCAATACTATTAATAATGATAATAGGACTATTGTCGACAGTTACCTGCACCGCGGCAGCGTGCGCGTTCTGTTGTGTCTGAGATTGGTCTTGCTGTTCTGTCGCAGCCGCGACGCTTTCTGAATGTTGTTTGCATAGTACTGCACATCTACACAACACCAAATTAGTCATTAGCTCTTTATTCAGTCGGAAGAATGAGAATTTGTGATTTGTTCGATGTGAACAAAGTGTATTTTTAGTGTCCTCATTTCATCTCGGAACCATTTCACCCAGGTGAATTGATTCGACTAAGGCCCAGAACAGACGGTGAAACGCAACTGCAACTTTCTGATGATTCTGATGAATGAAACTGAAAGTTTCAAACTGGTCGCGTCATGTGTGGTCTCTCAATGGACGCTATGGCAGAAACTTAGATGCAACTCAAAAGTATCTAGCAGTTGCAGTTTCGTTGCAGTTGCGTTTCACCGTCTGTTCTGGGCCTAAAGCGGTTGACTTTGTTCACGTGGGTGAATTAATTCCTAGGTGGACAAAGCGGAATGATCCACAAATGTTACCTGTCACACAGCCCCTGCTTGATGGAGTTCTGCAGGCAGCCCGACGTGGTGATGGTGATGAGCTTGTGGCCCACCAGCCACGTCATGGACTGGCCGCCCGTGAACAGGAACTCCGCTAGGTCACTCCTGCGCACGGGACACAAAACCACGCAGCGTTAAACTGATGTTCAAAAAGTTTTGGTGATACAGACACGTAAAATACTGTCGAAATGATTCGTTATTTATCATATCATATAACCTATGCATAGGATAATGGGACACTTCCCTAGATATAGTCAACGCAAGAGCGTAACCGGTGTCGTGTTAAAAAAGTGTATAAACAGTTAGGTAAAGCGACAGCACATCACGGGGATGGGACATTGATGACAAGGAGGTATGGTCAGTTCTGTATTGATAACTTTTTGTGCTAGTTTTTTATGTAGTTTGTCAAAGTGGTGCTAGAGTTTATTTTGACGCCTTGTTCTCGGCACTTGCAACGAGATCGTCGTGACAGTGATACCTCTGCGGCTTGACGCTGCAAGGGGAGGACGTGTAGCGCGCGAGGAGGTCCACGCAGGTCTCGGTGAGCTCGACGTGGAAGGCGGCCGACGCGCTGTGTGTGTGTGTGAGAGTGGGCGGTGGTACCTCTGCGGCTTGACGCTGCAAGGGGAGGACGTGTAGCGCGCGAGGAGGTCCACGCAGGTCTCGGTGAGCTCGACGTGGAAGGCGGCCGACGCGCTGTGTGTGTGTGTGAGAGTGGGCGGTGGTACCTCTGCGGCTTGACGCTGCAAGGGGAGGACGTGTAGCGCGCGAGGAGGTCCACGCAGGTCTCGGTGAGCTCGACGTGGAAGGCGGCCGACGCGCTGTGTGTGTGTGTGAGAGTGGGCGGTGGTACCTCTGCGGCTTGACGCTGCAAGGGGAGGACGTGTAGCGCGCGAGGAGGTCCACGCAGGTCTCGGTGAGCTCGACGTGGAAGGCGGCCGACGCGCTGTGTGTGTGTGTGAGAGTGGGCGGTGGTACCTCTGCGGCTTGACGCTGCAAGGGGAGGACGTGTAGCGCGCGAGGAGGTCCACGCAGGTCTCGGTGAGCTCGACGTGGAAGGCGGCCGACGCGCTGTGTGTGTGTGTGAGAGTGGGCGGTGGTACCTCTGCGGCTTGACGCTGCAAGGGGAGGACGTGTAGCGCGCGAGGAGGTCCACGCAGGTCTCGGTGAGCTCGACGTGGAAGGCGGCCGACGCGCTGTGTGTGTGTGTGAGAGTGGGCGGTGGTACCTCTGCGGCTTGACGCTGCAAGGGGAGGACGTGTAGCGCGCGAGGAGGTCCACGCAGGTCTCGGTGAGCTCGACGTGGAAGGCGGCCGACGCGCTGTGTGTGTGTGTGAGAGTGGGCGGTGGTACCTCTGCGGCTTGACGCTGCAAGGGGAGGACGTGTAGCGCGCGAGGAGGTCCACGCAGGTCTCGGTGAGCTCGACGTGGAAGGCGGCCGACGCGCTGTGTGTGTGTGTGAGAGTGGGCGGTGGTACCTCTGCGGCTTGACGCTGCAAGGGGAGGACGTGTAGCGCGCGAGGAGGTCCACGCAGGTCTCGGTGAGCTCGACGTGGAAGGCGGCCGACGCGCTGTGTGTGTGTGTGAGAGTGGGCGGTGGTACCTCTGCGGCTTGACGCTGCAAGGGGAGGACGTGTAGCGCGCGAGGAGGTCCACGCAGGTCTCGGTGAGCTCGACGTGGAAGGCGGCCGACGCGCTGTGTGTGTGTGTGAGAGTGGGCGGTGGTACCTCTGCGGCTTGACGCTGCAAGGGGAGGACGTGTAGCGCGCGAGGAGGTCCACGCAGGTCTCGGTGAGCTCGACGTGGAAGGCGGCCGACGCGCTGTGTGTGTGTGTGAGAGTGGGCGGTGGTACCTCTGCGGCTTGACGCTGCAAGGGGAGGACGTGTAGCGCGCGAGGAGGTCCACGCAGGTCTCGGTGAGCTCGACGTGGAAGGCGGCCGACGCGCTGTGTGTGTGTGTGAGAGTGGGCGGTGGTACCTCTGCGGCTTGACGCTGCAAGGGGAGGACGTGTAGCGCGCGAGGAGGTCCACGCAGGTCTCGGTGAGCTCGACGTGGAAGGCGGCCGAGGCGCTCCCGCCGCGCCCGCCCATCGGTACGCGCGATACTGCCTTGGAACCCTGACAACAGCCCGAGACGACCTTCATTACCCTATTTATAAATAATGATGCCTTTTCTGGGGTCCTTTCATTTTATAACTTTAAAAAAGAATAAAACCGACTTCAAATGCGTGTACACAAAAAAAAAACTAAAAATTAAAAATATTGCGTATAAAAAAGTTCATCCCCAATTTTCCACCCTTGGGGGTGAAATATTTTCTTCAAATTCGCATGAAACCACCCTTTTGATAATACCTATTCAACAAAAAAATAATCGTTCAAATTGATTTATAATCGGCGGAGATATTGCGTATAAAAAAGTTCATCCCCAATTTTCCACCCTTGGGGGTTGTTTTTTCTATTATTAAATTTAAATGGGACCACCCTTGAGGTATTACCTATACGCCGAAAAAAGATTTGTTCAAATCGGTTCGTAATTGGCGGAGTTATCGCGTAACAAACATAGAAAAAAAAAACATACGGGTCGAATTGAGAACCTCCTCCTTTTTTTTTGAAGTCGGTTGAAAAATGATTAAAAATGTTTTGATCCCACACAATCCCGTGAACTAGCAACAGTTTTAAAAGTCACTGGGGTAAGTTATTTCTAGAATTGCAAACGGAAACATGTGTATTATTAACATGGTAGACAAGTAGCTTACCAAACTGGAACTCCTCTGTCGATTAGAAGAGTCCTCGTTTGCGTTCTGTTGGAAATTGTTTGACTTGTACTGCAACTGCTCCTCGAACGGCATTATGATGTAGTTGTGTAGGCCCTGCGCACACGACAACGGCAAATCAGTAACCAATAAACGGTGAACGTTCACAGGCGTGACCTACGCACTCGAGCATCCTGTCATACATAGCACACGTCACAATGATAAAGATACTTTATCCAGCACATCAAGAGTACATAACACATTACAAAAAAAACATGGTATGCTGAAAAGGTTCCCGCTCCGCAAAAACCGCGTCACGTCACGGTCGTCACATCGTGATGCTGGTTTTCAGCGGGCACCAACGCGCGAGGTGTAGTATGTGTACGCGCCAAACCTATATATTTGACGTTGCTGCGTAAACTGACCCCACTCAAATATACTAGCATCGCACAGTATAGACTCTTTCATTGTCAACTCCCGGTCCCCACATTACATGGCGACCCTGCCAGTGCTGCCTTAGGGCAGTGCTGTGCAATAAAATAATAAGTTAAAATTTTAATTGGTGTTTATATAAATGGACTAAACTGAAGTAAAATCAGTGAAGAATCGGAATAAGAAGTGAATATGAAGAACAAGTGAAATAAATGGAATGTCGGAGAATTTTAAGAAGATCTAAAACTAAGAAAAATGGAAATGCTGGCTGCCGGGCGTATATGGTGCCAGATGGAGGTTTGGTGATGTGCTGGGCGCTGGGAGATGTCGGAGTCAGATGTTGGTTAATTGCTGGCTGCTGGGAGAGTTCGTGTCAAGGTGATGAGTGCTGCCGGGTGATAAAACTCGAGCAAGAAAGGCATTATCGGAAACATCAAGTAATATTAATTTTACATTCGAATCATTAAATATTTTTAAATCATTTTTATGACTAATTGCTTATGTAATTCACATGTGGCCACTGTGTAATTATTTGGTGTCATTTTTTTTAGAAAATAAGAATTTAACGTAGAAGGGTCAAATTAAGTAAGTAATTTTGAAGTCTGAATAATGTCGAAAATTATAACATTATTAACACATTTTTAAAAATTTATATTAATTTGCAATTTACTTCATCAAATATACCATATACCCAATAAGAGGTATATAAATAAATAAATAAAAATAGTACCTACCTAAATAAGTGAATATGCCAAGTAAGAGAGATATTATTATGCCCAAGAGGTAATAAATATAGGAGAATGTAAGAAAGATTATGTTTATCTAGATAGGTGTTTAGAAAAAAGTTAAGATTGTTAGCAAAACCTCACAGGCAAGGTTATATTATTGAGAAATATTTATCATTGTTAAATAATAATATGGAAAGTAAATGGTATATTTATGAATATTTTAGTTTCAATTTTGTTTGGATAAAATTTTGAAGTCATGAAACTGAAATTATAATAATATGTTTTAACATTATTTGTAGTATTGATAAAACTTGAGAATGGTGTTTATGTAATTGATTAAATGATAATGTTATTGAGTTCAACATCAAAATATTTCTTTAGGTTCCCACTATACTGTTTTGTCAATTGTAAAAAACGATATTGACGATATTGAGTTTAGAAAGACTGAATTAAAGTAGTAAATTTTAATCTGTAGAATCTATCATTATCATATCAAGGTAAAAACTGGCACAACTGAAAATGCAATATTATGTGTAATGTGTTTTTTATAAATTAGGAAAAAGTAAATAATTAATTTGACCCAACTACTGTAATATGTAACACTTTAAATACTTATAATATTTTATATTCTGTAGATCGTAAGTAAGAAAACTTTGCGATGTGTAATTTTTGTGTTGATATTTGAACCTGTGAAATAATTCTTTTTAAAAAAATTTTTTTGTAGAAAACTGTTTTTTTAAATGTAAAGTATAATTTGAATTAGAATTTAAAAAGTGATGTAAATTATTTTCACATAGTTTGTTTATTTCTAACAATTATTTACTTTAAAAATATAAATATTGACTGTTTTGTTAATTTGGAAATAATGAAATTCTTTTAATTAATTTTGAAACATCTTTACAAAATGTCATTCTTTAAAACTGTTTTTCTGTCTGTGTAGATGTTTATGTTTGATAGTCAAAAAATCATCCTATTCAAATATCAGTTTATGTGGAATGTTCTAAATTAGTCAACTCATTTATGTATTTATTTTTCTCTAAAAATATGAATGTAAAAAAAAATATTTTGTGGTCTGTAAGCTTAGCTTTTAGACTTTTTCATGTTCAATTACTTTTTACAAAATTATGGTTTGTAATGAAAATTAAGATCATTTGAAATTAGATTTTTTTTTTGATTTTAATGTATTTTGATGTTTTGTTTTGAACTGTTGTAACTAAATTTAATATTTGAAAAAATATTGTAAACCAATTTTTTTCTTTTAAAAAGGGGGGAGGTGTAGTATGTGTACGCGCCAAACCTATATATTTGACGTTGCTGCGTAAACTGACCCCACTCAAATATACTAGCATCGCACAGTATAGACTCTTTCATTGTCAACTCCCGGTCCCCACATTACAGAGGGATTACGATCCTCCCCGTTGACAGAGATGGTTTGTCAGTAGAGACAGATTATAGATTATACGTATTTCGGTTAAGTTTTTACACAGAGGTGCGTGTGTTTGTGACTCACGTGGATGATGAACCGCACTCGTTGCGGCGGTAGGAGAGGCGGCACTTGAGGAACCAGGCGGCGATGACGTGGTGCGCCTGAGCTGGTGGGCGTGGGACTCACGTGGACGATGAACCGCACTCGTTGCGGCGGTAGGAGAGGCGGCACTTGAGGAACCAGGCGGCGATGACGTGGTGCGCCTGAGCTGGTGGGCGTGGGACTCACGTGGACGATGAACCGCACGAAGTTGCGGCGGTAGGAGAGGCGGCACTTGAGGAACCAGGCGGCGATGACGTGGTGCGCCTGAGCTGGTGGGCGTGGGACTCACGTGGACGATGAACCGCACGAAGTTGCGGCGGTAGGAGAGGCGGCACTTGAGGAACCAGGCGGCGATGACGTGGTGCGCCAGCGACACCACGTAGTGGTTGTAGCGCGAGGGGTTGGTGTAGGGCAGCAGGATCGCGAACACCGACATGTACTGGTCCTCCACGAACGACGCGAACACGCGCGGCAGCCGCGTCAGCGCTGCAAGGGGCAAGCGCGTGCGAGTTTCACATATCAGTCAACTAGTAAAAGTGGGTGGGTAATTTTATTACGTACAGACTAAAAACCAATACATAACTCCAAAGCATAACTTCTCAAACAAAACTCATTGAACGGAGTAAAACAGTGATGTTTTAGCTTGTTTTTCCGTACAAAATCTATAGGAGAAATGAACTAGGGCAGCTTTAAAAAAATATGTAATTTGTTCTATGGGTGTGACCACTAAAGTATGTGAGAGTGTTTAAGTACAGAACACTTACTGGAAAGGAACTCCAGCATGGGGCTGGCGATGGTCTTGGTGTCGGAGATCTTGGACAGGTCCAGCAGCACCTCGGGCAGCATCTTCACCATCGTCTCGCGCATCTCCAGCGTGAAGATCGTCAGCGCGTTGATGTAGGGCTGTGGTGTGCGCAGCACTGCAAGCATACACGACGACCATGTTACAACACGATAACATAACATACTAAATATTGTTGTGTCCATTTTATCCTAAATAGGTTAAACTTTGTAATTGTGTTAGTTCTTGTAATAGTTAACCAGTGAAGTTCCATCGACCATATTTTTTTAAATTTTATTATTCGGCATGTGACGATGCACAGCATCTGGTGAGAGATGCGTCTACTTCCGGTGTAGTTTTTTACCATTTTATACCTTAAATGACGTCATTTCCGCAATTATTTAATAGGAATTGATTTGACTTACTTCCGTTTGCCGCCATTTTAGTCACCTGGGGGCGAGCTTGCTCGGAGTTCTTCATAGCGTCTCTAACTTCCAAACTAGCAACATCGTAAGCAGAAACTCTGCTCAGATTTTTACTGAAATAATTTATTTCTCAACGTTCTTATACTAAGTTTAAAATTAAAAAGTGCAATTGACCGCGCGTGTGTGACCGCGAACGACATGTACGTGATGGTGGTTGGCGCCAAAGGGGACGAGTGTCTTCCGGACGACGAGCAGGTGGACCCAGAGCATCGGATACCGGAGAAACTCGGACCCCGGCGAGATTCAAAACGGATGAAACGAGGTACGTGGGATTCTGATAGTTTTAACACTCTTTTCGATCAAATGAGCATTCTCGCGAATCTCTGTATTGTATAAATAGACTGAATAACGTACCCACAACCATCTTATACAATTCTAACGGCGGCCCCGTCAGCCCCAATCGCAAACATTACCAATCAAAATACGTTGTTAGCATCACCACAATCGAACGATAACTCTTTCTGGTACGAGTTTCTTAATAAATACCCTACGTCAAAGATGCTTGGCTGTGAACAATTTATGTTAATAATTAATTGGCTTAATTTTGCCCTAGTGTAAATACTTTTTGTCTAGTAAAAAATAATTTCTATACTTTGTTAGCTGGCTGGCTTTAAATATTATCTGGACAGATTGATTTGCACGGGAATCTAGTCTATGACTTTCGTTTGTTTGTTCATGGAATGAATTTGATTTAAGCGCCATCTGTTGTTACTCTGAGTTTTTCTTTTCTCCATGAAAATAGGTAACATTTACATTAAATGATACATTACATTTAAACAACACGGTATCAGACTATAAAATATGCCGACGTGAAACTTAGAACAGGTTAATTTAACCTAGTTCGGTCACAGATTATAATAACCTGTTCCCATCTGAGGAACCGTATGGCAAACTTTTTATCTCAACAGATGAACCGTATGATCGTACGCTTTTGCCTCTAAACACCTTTGCTTTCTTCGGCCGTTGACCCCGCCCACGCGGAATACAGATTAAAAATGTTTCCCGCGCGAATTTCACCACAGATAATGCGTTGTTCGGACTTTTTCGTGTGATCTCTGACATTGTGGCTTTCTAACTAGTTTATTGATGTAAACAGATGGTTTTGTTTTCTTTTGTGTTTCCCATAAAATGCCGGATATTTAAATCAAGTAGGCTATAATCTTTGCAGAGATCTTTATTTTAGTAGTTCACTTCAGTACTTAGGGCGCCTCTATAACACAAATACAACTTTAACATAAAATAAATTTGTTAGGTTTACGGAATTTTTGGCGCCAAAATTTTAGCGGAACGCGGATCAGTTGTTTATTCTAATATCTAATAAAATAATCAAGTTCAATGAAAAATATAGATCACATGCGTGATATAGGTTTCTTGACCTTAACATTGGCAATAAATATCTAGTTTTCGATAAAATACCGTAATAAAACCACTTAATTGTTTCATTTCAATTTTATTCAATGCCCTAGCCTTGCTTCTGGATAATACCGTTTAAAATAAAGAAAAAATATTTTTTTAACTCAGGAAGTTACGCAATTGAATGTCAGTAATTAATTTTGCGCGAATGACTGTGATATTGTTAAATTAATATCGACATTGAAGCTAAAAATAGAGTTATACGGGGAATTATTCTTTTGTCTATTAACAATTAAAACAATTTGAAAAAGCAACGAGTTTTTCAATTTGCATAATTTTCGCGCGCGATTACATTCTGACGTTTCAGCCAAGACGTGACCTGTCATTTTCAAATTGGCAGCCACGAGCCGGGGCCTTTTGGCAGGCCTGTTCATCTCCGCGAGTTTACATCGAAAACAAAACACGCACGATGGCCCACCTACAGGATACTATTCGACAAGGCCTCACATACGAGCGAACATTGACTCACGCACGCGTATTCTTGTGTATGATGGAAGAAAATAAAGAAAATGGTGTAGCTACTAAATACTGTGCAGTATTTAACTGCCTAAATATNGCGTCTGCGGCTCGAGTAGAGATTGCAATCCGGATTATTCGAAATTCGAAAATATCTGAAAAATCCGGATTTTGAGGCTATCAAAAAATCCGGATTTTTACTTTGAAATCCGGTTTTTTCGAATATTTTTACCCCAAAAATTTTATCATAAAATCATAAACCAAAATATCTATTGAATGCAACATGGATGCAAAACAAGCGAACAAGTGAATTGAACGCACCCGCACTTCGTCGCACAACACTCACACCAGCCCCCCTAGACAAAACGCACTTTTTGATCGAATCGAAAATCGAATCCGTCAAAACTCCATACAAAAAAGGGGCTTTTCGACCACTTATCGACTGGTTTGCGATTATAATTTGCACTTTGTCTAGACCCACTGCACTGTGCCTGCACAATGACGCGTCATGCCGCATGCGTAAGTGAATTCGCTAGTCGGCCAGTGAGTTTTATACGAGACGCTGATTCTGAAACACCATATCACTGAGTTTTAAAGAGCAGCTAAATCGGCAAATATCCCTTGCAAGTGTAAGTCATCATCATCATCTCAGCCATAGGACGTCCACTGCTGAACATAGGCCCCCCAATGCTTTCCATGTTGCCTGGTTGGTAGCGACTTGCGTANTGCGGCTCGAGGCAGGTGTGGTAGGGCGCCAGCGCGGCCAGCGCCGGCATACAAGTGTGCGGCTCACCCATTCCATATTTGAGCAGGCAGCGCACGATGCGCTGCTGCGTCTGCGGCTCGAGGCAGGTGTGGTAGGGCGCCAGCGCGGCCAGCGCCGGCATACAAGTGTGCGGCTCACCCATTCCATATTTGAGCAGGCAGCGCACGATGCGCTGCTGCGTCTGCGGCTCGAGGCAGGTGTGGTAGGGCGCCAGCGCGGCCAGCGCCGGCATACAAGTGTGCGGCTCACCCATTCCATATTTGAGCAGGCAGCGCACGATGCGCTGCTGCGTCTGCGGCTCGAGGCAGGTGTGGTAGGGCGCCAGCGCGGCCAGCGCCGGCATACAAGTGTGCGGCTCACCCATTCCATATTTGAGCAGGCAGCGCACGATGCGCTGCTGCGTCTGCGGCTCGAGGCAGGTGTGGTAGGGCGCCAGCGCGGCCAGCGCCGGCATACAAGTGTGCGGCTCACCCATTCCATATTTGAGCAGGCAGCGCACGATGCGCTGCTGCGTCTGCGGCTCGAGGCAGGTGTGGTAGGGCGCCAGCGCGGCCAGCGCCGGCATACAAGTGTGCGGCTCACCCATTCCATATTTGAGCAGGCAGCGCACGATGCGCTGCTGCGTCTGCGGCTCGAGGCAGGTGTGGTAGGGCGCCAGCGCGGCCAGCGCCGGCATACAAGTGTGCGGCTCACCCATTCCATATTTGAGCAGGCAGCGCACGATGCGCTGCTGCGTCTGCGGCTCGAGGCAGGTGTGGTAGGGCGCCAGCGCGGCCAGCGCCGGCATACAAGTGTGCGGCTCACCCATTCCATATTTGAGCAGGCAGCGCACGATGCGCTGCTGCGTCTGCGGCTCGAGGCAGGTGTGGTAGGGCGCCAGCGCGGCCAGCGCCGGCATACAAGTGTGCGGCTCACCCATTCCATATTTGAGCAGGCAGCGCACGATGCGCTGCTGCGTCTGCGGCTCGAGGCAGGTGTGGTAGGGCGCCAGCGCGGCCAGCGCCGGCATACAAGTGTGCGGCTCACCCATTCCATATTTGAGCAGGCAGCGCACGATGCGCTGCTGCGTCTGCGGCTCGAGGCAGGTGTGGTAGGGCGCCAGCGCGGCCAGCGCCGGCATACAAGTGTGCGGCTCACCCATTCCATATTTGAGCAGGCAGCGCACGATGCGCTGCTGCGTCTGCGGCTCGAGGCAGGTGTGGTAGGGCGCCAGCGCGGCCAGCGCCGGCATACAAGTGTGCGGCTCACCCATTCCATATTTGAGCAGGCAGCGCACGATGCGCTGCTGCGTCTGCGGCTCGAGGCAGGTGTGGTAGGGCGCCAGCGCGGCCAGCGCCGGCATACAAGTGTGCGGCTCACCCATTCCATATTTGAGCAGGCAGCGCACGATGCGCTGCTGCGTCTGCGGCTCGAGGCAGGTGTGGTAGGGCGCCAGCGCGGCCAGCGCCGGCATACAAGTGTGCGGCTCACCCATTCCATATTTGAGCAGGCAGCGCACGATGCGCTGCTGCGTCTGCGGCTCGAGGCAGGTGTGGTAGGGCGCCAGCGCGGCCAGCGCCGGCATACAAGTGTGCGGCTCACCCATTCCATATTTGAGCAGGCAGCGCACGATGCGCTGCTGCGTCTGCGGCTCGAGGCAGGTGTGGTAGGGCGCCAGCGCGGCCAGCGCCGGCAGCGTCGCGCAGTGGAACTCGGACAGCAGCAGCTTGCCGCCGCCCGCGCCGCCCGTGCGCACGCACTCCGGGAAGTACAGGCTGCGGTCTGACACCTGCACAGAGGATATTGCTTAGTTCTCATTTTCTCACGTTTGCTCCAAATGTGATTATCTGTCGTTTCGTCATTTCAGCCGAATGACGTCTACAAGGATTTCCGCAATGACCAGTCCTGCCCCGCCCGCATCCAAGCATCTGCCAGGACCTTCACCAAATCATCGGTTCACCTATTGGGGGCCTGCCCACACTGCACCTTTTGGCCCGTGGTCGCCACTCGAGAAATTTTCTGAGCTCTGTCCGCCCACTGCAACTTGATTTAAGCGATTCTGCGTGCTATGTCGGTGACTTTGGTTCTCCTGTGGATCTCCTCATTCGATTCGATCACTCACCATGGCGCAGAGCGTGGCGGCGAGCAGGTCGAGGTCGTGCGCGCGGCGGCCCAGCGCCAGCGCGCGCGCGTGCAGCAGGTGCGGCAGCGCGCGCAGCACGGCGCCCAGCACGAACCACTCGCACTCGCGCGTCAGGGCTGACGTCAGCGCGCGCGCGGCACGGCCCGCGCCCACGGCGCATGCGCCCTGTAACACAATAAGCAAATAAGTTAAAGCCCGGTCTGAGAGCACGTAGAATTTTGTCCAATGACCCCAAACTACCCATCCTTATCGCTCACGCGTAATTATGTTGCTGTCGCGCTCACACACTCACTGCGGGCGCCCGTCGCACAGTCGCGACAGCAATATAATTACGCGCGAGTGATAAGCTTGGGGTCATTGGACAAAATTCTACGTGTTCGCAGACTACAGTAGCTTAAATAGAACTTACAACCGCTGCCTGTATTGCTATGATTCGTTAGGTACATACATGGAAAAACACACAAATCCGCTATGCATGATCTCCATTATCTAGCTTCGTGGCTATGGACCGACACAGTTCGCAACTCCACTCCGCTCCACGGCCTTGATCATTTTCAGGGTACAGGTAGCCTAAACGGAACTAAAACGTGTGCGGTACGTATAGTACACTTACGGGCGGCAGGTCGCGCTGCGGCGGCGCCATGGCGCGCGTGCACAGCGGCTCGCACTGCAGCAGCGGCGAGCACAGCGGCCGGACGCGCGCGGCCGCGGCGCCGTGCACCGGGTTGCCGGCCGCGTCGTAGCAGAAGCCTACGCAGTTGAACGCGTTCGCTCGCAGTCCGAACACCATTTCGAGAATCTGGAACGGATAATTCCAAGCGTTACGGCTATGTATCATTGTAACTTCAGACGCAGGTCGGTCGGTACGGGACTATTCCCACCTCTCGTTCCCACCGCTGCAACTCCTGTGTAGCCAGGATCTACAGTTTGACCGCCACAAAAACCCAACCAATGAAGGTCAAGTTTGTCCCGTGGGAAAGTTAAACTGTCATTGGACCCGCAACGAAATTAATCAGAAGAACTTAGGAGTTCGAAATTAAGGTCGGTCGGTAGTTAACCTTTAAAGTCCCAGACGGCATACATTAATGCCATAACAATTGATTATTATCTATTGTGTCTAGATTCGCGGGCCTTGAAGGATTAATCTGTTACCCAGTCAATGAAGCACATGATGTCGTACCCTGAGCAACTGCACGTAGGAGGATTTAATGAATGCTGCTGACAACGCCACTCTTGTAGCGGAATTTGGGGCTGACACTCTGTAGGTTTGTTGTTGACACGATAAGAAGAAGATCATTGTAACAGTAAAAGTTAACATGCTACATGTTTATATGCTTAAATTTTTTAAAAAACAACTAAGAAGTCATCAGTCATCTCACGTTCCCCCTGTCACTGCAACTACTGTGTAGGACATTATTTATTTATTTATTAGGTACACCAACAAAGTCACATACATAATACAGTTCATATATTTTAACATGGTTTAACACATGATACGTATATGACCTCAATTACAGGTATACACAGCATTTCTTTTTGCATAGGAGGAGCAAAGAAGTTAAGGATCGACTTCTAAGAACTAATAAGTCAGTACCGACCTTGAGGCGGATCTCGGGGTGGTGCTGGAAGACGGCGGGGCGCTTGTAGTGCTGGTCGAGGTGGTCGAGCAGCACGAGCAGCGCGCGCGCGGCGGGCGCGGGCGCGGCCGGCAGCTTGTCGTGCAGCAGCCGCAGCAGCCCCGCCGCCGCCAGCGCGCAGTCGCTCGTCTCCGCGCCCGCCGCCAGCCCCGCGCTCCCCTCGTACACCGTGAACGGCCGGTTGAGGATGCGCTCCAGCAGGTCGATGAGGTCGGTGCAGTCGGCCGGCGAGAGGCGCGCCAGGTCGGCCAGCGCGCGCGCGGCGCTCGCGCGGACGGCCGGCTCCGCGTCCTGCGCGCACGTGCTCAGCACCGGCACGCCCACGCGCTCCACCAGCTCCGAGCCGTACACCAGCCTGCGGGGGACAACGTCATTAGCTCTCACGAGTCCAAACTCAGAATACGCTATTGCGCGAAAATGTACCTCACCAACCCGTGCCCAAAGCCAGCGAGGGAGTGTAGGCCATAAGCTCTTGCCTCTGGTGAGAAGGGTCGTGCTCTTGCAATAGATACCAATGACTAATAATGAAATAATGGTATCGAAGAGAACAGCTCGTCCGTTAGGCCCGAAATTGCGTTAAGCGGGCCCCGACGCGGTTTCATACGAAAGTCCCCCGGGCGAGTGCCCGCGACGGAGCACTTTGTATGAAACCGCGCCGGGGCCCGCTTAACGCAGTTTCTGCCCTTAGATCTGATATGATTTCAGTAGTAGGGAGTCAGATGGCACGCACCTTTAGAAGACTACGTGTAATCACGTTAACAACAACGCGCAGGTAGCGCGGCTCGCGGCGCAGGTAGCGCTCGGCCAGCGCCAGCGCCGCGCCGTGATCGTACCTGTCGCGCTTGACGAAGGCGAGCAGCGCGGCGAGCGTGTGCAGGCGCAGCGCGGTGCGCGGCTCGCGGCGCAGGTAGCGCTCGGCCAGCGCCAGCGCCGCGCCGTGATCGTACCTGTCGCGCTTGACGAAGGCGAGCAGCGCGGCGAGCGTGTGCAGGCGCAGCGCGGTGCGCGGCTCGCGGCGCAGGTAGCGCTCGGCCAGCGCCAGCGCCGCGCCGTGATCGTACCTGTCGCGCTTGACGAAGGCGAGCAGCGCGGCGAGCGTGTGCAGGCGCAGCGCGGTGCGCGGCTCGCGGCGCAGGTAGCGCTCGGCCAGCGCCNAAGTAAAACTTCTGTACGTAGTACTTATTATTAGTCTGTGCTTTTGGCCACATCACACAGATAATAGAGCTTATGAATGGCACACTGACAAGGGAAATTCCCGCCTTTCTAATTACATACAGGTACATCCTCACAGTCGATTAATTTCTTCTTCCTTTGACCCATAGAGCTTTCCATAATTTTCCCATCGAACGGACGTGGAGTTTCACCTTCCCTAACGATCCAGCCGGCAGATGTCGCTACAATAGAAAGTATATCCATCGGATGACCACGTATTAACATTGGCAATCGGTGCATCCGTCTTAGAGGTACAGTCAGGTGGCAATAATACGACCTGAAATAAAAGATTTAACTTTAAGGTAACCACTGTGGTCTAATGGTAAAACGACCTGTATAAAACCCAGAAGTCTCAGGATAGATTCCTATGTGGGGGAAAAATATTTGCTTGGTTGGTAGTATAAGTCCGCCTGGCTAGCTACCACCATTTTACCTAAGTATGTGGCGAAAACAACAATGTTAACAGTATTGTTGTGTTTTGGCAGTTAGAGATAAGACTGCCAGTTCTTCTGTGGTTGAGGATTCCGGGTGAAGCTCGTCTCCATCTGTGGCCTGATCATCACTTTCCACCAAATGAAATCCAGGTCAAGATCTTTTTCGTAGAAACTTGATACTTTACCTAGAATTCTCAACCACAGAGTCATTTCAGCCAAAACTTCAACCACTACTGAACATAGGCTTCAGGTAGAGTTACATACCATTTAATTATACTCCATGCCAAATCACTTGTAGCCAAACTGTCTAGCAAAACGTACATGACGTCATCGAGGCCGACTGTACCTTCAAACTAGTTTCGCAAGCATCTAAAAAGGATTTAGAAAGTCATAGGAACGCGTATCCGGTAGAATTTCTATTTTATTTTATGGCTTCAGCTGTTTTGTGACTGGACTGTACATGAGCTAATTTGTGATAATATAATTACTTTATGGGTCCTAATTGTGTTTATTGACCTATTAAACTGTTCAATGATTTTATTTTTTAATGATTGCTTACATAAAATAATAAAATGATTTAAGCTTTAAAATTATAAATATGCTACTCCGCTTTAAAATCTGTTGGCAGTGAAAGATCGAAACGTATAGACAAATAGAGCGACTTTATTCTATAGTAAAGAGTATGTAGAGATAGAAATGCTCACTTTTTAAAAGCAGGCAACTTAGATAGACATTTACAAAGATTTTCTTTTATTCGTACGTAGATATAAAAACGTCTCTAGATTAAAATTATATCGGTTAGTAAGTATAAATAAGCTTTTATGGAAAGCTCTCTGTTATTAAAAACTAGCTTTTACCCGCGGCTTCACACGCGTGAAATTTAGTTTGTCACAGATCGTCATAAATTATAGCCTATACATAAGTTATTCTGGATTATAAACAATAAACTGTAAAGTTTCATCTAAATCCGTTCAGTAGTTTTGGCGTGAAAGAGTAACAAACATGTTGACATCCAGACATTCTGGATTTCCAGACATCCATACAAACTTTCGCACTTATAATTAAAAAAATACAAATATATTCATCGCCCGGGCATTGACTTTTGAAAACTTCTTTCTGTTATCAAAATCATATAAATATATGAATGTCAATTTAATGATGAAGATTGATTGCATTTTAAATCCTTTGAATACGAAATAAATGCAATAAACGTCAATTAAGAACACATCGCCGACTTGTTTATCTTTACGATCTAAAAAACGAATTACCTTTAACAATCTAGCGCTCATTATGAAAACCGCATCGTTTTCAGTTCAGTTTTTGCTCAAATCAGCCGGATTCATCGCATCCTAAGACCTAGTTCTAGTACCTAGGTACTACTTACTAGTCTTGTTCTAATACGACTAGTCTTATAAGGCAGCGGTCGACTAGTCCACAGTAGTTCTGGGAATACGTGCCACTAGTCGTTCGTAGTATTGAAGTAGGTTTTTAGCGCTGTAAACAATATTGATTTGCTATAGCATGGTGTACACTTAAATAAAAAATTAAATCAAATGTTTTACTTCAATATGGAGAGTCGTAAGGTTTAAAGGTACGGGCAACACTTGACTGACTATTTTAATAATAAATAAATAAAATGGCTAATAAGGTTTTTGTTTATTTCAGGTAAACATTTTATCAATCTTGGACAACATCTCTCTTGGGTTCTGGTGCACTTAGTAAGTATTTATTATGACTATAAAAGTATGAACATGGCCCTAAAGGATTCGTTATCATCACCATCATCATCTCAGCCATAGTACGTCCACTGCTGAACATAGGCCTCCCCCAATACTTTCCATGTTGCCCGGTTGGTAGCTGCTTGCGTCCAGCGCTTTCCTGCTACCTTTATGATGTCGTCGATCCACCTTGTGAGTGGACGTCACACGCTGCGTTTTCCGAAAGGCTTAGGTATTGAGAAATAGCTTTTCTCTACTATTTTTTACATTTCATATTATATTTTTATTATAACAAAAGAAAGCATAGTAGACACAATATGATATGACGCACCACTTCTAAATACATAGTGCAATAGTTGTGTCAAAAAATCAGTCAAGAAATGGTTTCTGGAATAAAAAATACAAACAAAAAAGGAATAAACTTTAAAATTCAGAATCAGTTCGGCTAACGGTGGTCCACTTGCAAACACCATATGTGATGAGAGCGCTAGTGATGTTATCATATCGATAAGCCAATAACTTATCGATGTTCCGATTGCGCCAGTTAGGCTTGACGAGTATAATTTCTCATTAAAATTGTTGCTGCAAGCAAAGCTATACAGGAATGTAAGTAAAGTAGGGTAACATGAAAATCTGCGAAGCTTATAGCCCGTAATTTCTAGATCTATAATTTATCGTTTTAACTATAATTATTTGTCATTATTCGCGACAAATCCAGTACAATTATACTAGGCTACAAGTGCCTAGGCTACAAATAATTTAACGTACCTACTTCTGATTAGAGATAAAACATAGCTATACCGAAAAAAATGCATTAAATCCGAGAAGCACGTACTAATTAGGTACGTACAAATTAAAACTCTTTATTGCCTATGTGCTTTTAAAATCACTAATGTCCATTAACAAAACATGTGTTGTATGCACGTTGTGGGTGTGAAAGTGAGACTAGTAAAATCGTTTAAAAAATTGCTTTCTGTTTTGGGTTAAAATACAAAATCAATCCTTAAGAAGTAGTAAGTGAAGCTCTAGAACTAGCTTACCTACATTCTTTTTGACTAAATAAACGGTCACAGTAAAACACATTTTAACTGCGTACCTAGTACTTAGTGCTTTGACGTTGATACCATTATTGTATTTTGCGAAGGCTGCAGGTTCGGAAATATTTAATAAAAAAATCAATTGCTAACATGCCACAAAAACTAAAACCCATTATAACAAGGACACAGCAATTTTGTCAATGTATGAAAATTAAAAAAAAACACTTCCTCAAATTAATTGTCTTTATTAATAAAACACGTAACAAAATACGTGATCTCATCAAATCCATAGACTAATTCGTATTATGAAACACGCAAAAACTGTATTTCTATCAATGTCAGTACAATAAGATCCTTGTAACTGTTCGTGACTTCGGTCACTTTCGATCTTTTTGCTGCGATGGTAACAAAGAAGCCGATATAGAACGAAACGTCATAACAGAAGAACAGGTTTGCTCTTGTTTAAAAGTAGAACATTTTCTATTGTGGAAGTTTTTCCGGTCAAATGTTTAAGTTAATTAGTAGTATTACCACAGAATAATAATAAGTACTACGTACAGAAGTTTTACTTCGCAAAGGTATTTAAAAAAATGTATGCTCAATGTCATTAACAATATGGTGTAATTTAGCCAGTCTCAAGAGTCAAGCACCATTTTGTTGACAAACGTCAGTGATCGGCACTGCGCCGAAGCTATAGGGCTGACTTCGGTAAAATGATGTGACGTGACGTGCCAAACTGCGGAAAATGGCGGAGGAAATATATGATTTAGCATGAATTATCATGAATAAATATTAACTACTTATTTACCTCTCAGTGTCTTGAGGCAACTTAAAAAAGTACGTTCTGTGTTTTTATTATTATTTAGGCAGTTAAATACTGCACAGTATAGTACACCATTTTCTTTATTTTCTTCCATCATACACAAGAATACGCGTGCGTGAGTCAATGTTCGCTCGTATGTGTGGCCTTGTCGAATAGTATCCTGTAGGTGGGCTATCGTGCGTGTTTTGTTTTCGATGTAAACGCGGAGATGAACAGGCCTGGTATTACTCGAATTTATTAGGTGCGCGATTAGAATCGCAATCATTGATAATTAAAATTGATATTAACCAAAAGAGTTGCGCTAGACTGAACTGAAAAATGGCAGATTTTTAATCATAATGTTAGATAGTAGGTACCTGTAATTTTATAACATCATTTTTTATAAGAACCTTGTTGGCATGAGTCACTTTATTTACCTCTATTGAAGTTATAGTAAAAGGGCACCACATGTCGTCTTACATGATGTCACCAGATTCCATAATGCTAAGTACATAATTTATCTTTAGTTTGTGGTCTGTAATGTGTGACACAATTTTTTTTATAATGTTACCATTACCTAAAATAAACAACAGGGTAGATCGAAAGTTGCAAGGTCGGCAGCTTATTGTTGCCAGCATTGCGTAAACACTGTTTTGAAAAAAGTATCACGAACTGAAGTGAATGCACTGAAGGGCATTTAAAAATATCGATATCGGTATACTTAAGGAAATAAGTAACAGCACTATATTTACGAAGAACAATAGATGATCATAAGCTTCGCACCGTGACGGCGCCGGCGCATCCCAACTTGATGGGAAATGTGTCTGCGATTTGGTATTAAATTAGGATTATTTTTTCATTGTTTACTTTGACGTTGGTGCATTGATTTTAAGTAAACAATGGAATGTGACATCTTATGTGGTTGAAATAGGAGTTATTTTGGGACAAAAATGTATAATCTGATGTCACACACACTCTCTCTCGCTGACTGACCTCATCTCTTTTTCACGCTTAATCCACCGAACCGATTTTGATGAATTTGGTATAATTGAATTTGAATTTGGTCCCGGGAAAGGACATCTAGGATACTTATTTTTGTCCCTGTTTTTAAAAAAAAAGCGACGTTTTTCTGTGACAGAAAAAAATCCTGCAGGTGAGAGCCACGGGAAAAAGCTAGTAATTCTAGTCGCCATTTTTGACCCACAGGTCTGTGTTCTCAGTTACTACCACTCGACAGAAGATCTGTCGTATGTCCTATAAAATATGTAACACACTGTCACCCTACTCGATCAGTCTGTCACAGACAGTGTGTTACGCGGTCGCTCCCATGACCCACAGCGGCAAAAACTCATGCGCACACTAGCGGTATATTGAGCGAATTCTAAATACCTTAATTGCAGGGTTTGTTATCACTGTTATCTAGTTGCTTGATGGACTGACGACCTCGAGATGCTACATGTCTGGAAGAAATATGCGAGAGGTCGTGATCTTTTGTAGCTCCTTAGAGGACGCTGACCTACCATTGCTTGATGATGGTGATTCACTACCCTTTTTCCTGAAGAGGCAAAAAGAGCTCTATACCCTTGCAGTTTGGTTGCATGGTATTTTAGTATTTGTTTCATTGTACCTATTCAAAGCGCAAAAAAGAAAGAAATAGTGTCAAGGTCTTATTTATGACCAGTCAAGTCCATAAATGTAGTTCAAGTTTTCTCTGTATGATTGTTACTTATAAACTTGAAAACTTAAACGAGTAATTTAATTGACACTGCTTATCTGAATTAGGTACTTGAGTTTCAATTTAGGGTACCTACTACATGTTATTTCTATTATTCATCTTATGATCTTGAGGGGTATTTTATTCTCTCTTGTACCTACATGAACGCGCTAATCTCGGAACTACAGGTCCCATTTGAAAAAATATTTTTGTGTTGGATAGCCCATTTATCGAGGAAGGTTTTCAGCTATATAACACCACCCTACAGCCAATGGGGGCGGAGCAGTAAAGAAAAATGTTGCAAAAACGGGAAATCTTATTCAAACTATTTTCACGCGTACAAAGTGGCGGGCACAGCCAGTCAGTCCCATAGAAGTGAGAGGTTTTGGTTTTGCTAGATCATAAATGAAGCACTGGAGACTAAACTAAGTAATTATAATATCAGTCTGTAGGATTAATTTATTGGCTTTCTGAATTAGAATGTGAATAATTAATGGGTGTTCAAGGCCGCCCGGTGTCGGTGACAGAGCCTTGCCAATCGGCCTCAGTTGACATTTGTTGCTATACTTATCTTGCTATTAATATGCCGAGTGAGAGGATTCTGTGTTGTTTTAATTTTTAACTAGACGGCTTTATCAGCTTTATCCTAAACTTCAAAGTCCTCCTATGTCCTTCTGATCAATTGCGTTGCGGGACTATTCCCGCCTCTCGTCCCCACTGCAATTCCTGTGTAGCCAGGATCTACAGCTTGGCTGCCAATAAAAAACCAACCAGTGAAGGTCAAGTTTGTCCCGGGGGAAAGTTAACTGTCATTGGACCCGCAACGAAATTAATCAGAAGAACATAGAAGTTCGAAGTTAAGATTCTTTCGGAGATATGTCAAGGATTAGCTCAGAATGTGAAGCTTCATCACCATCTGCTCATCTTAGTACACTGCTGCACAAAATCTTCCCAAATGTACAACTGCTGGATCAAAGACCTATTCTTTCTCAAAAGTTATGAGTAATTTTTTGTACCTCTAATATTTTCGGTCTATTTTTCTGATTTTGCATTTCTCAAACCAGATTGAAAAAATGGTTCCAGTTGATGACAAAAACGTCATATAACATGAATCTAATTCAATTTGCCTGCATTTACATTATTATATCATTATAATAAGTACTCACAGTATTACATTACTGACACCCAGTCGATATTAAGTTGCATAACGTATTGCTCAAACCGGCGACAGACAGACAAACTTGTTATTTTATGTACTTAATCGTTATAAAGTGGACTGAGATTGTTTTATGAGTAGCCTAGATAATACTCTCCCAGACTGAGAATACTGTGTTAGTAAAAATATAATAAAATACTAGATCCGGGATTTTATGTTGTTTTGTGTAGTCTTTAATCTTTTACGATGTGAAAATAACTGTCCCTAACTTAGATACATATACAGACTTTTTGCCGGCTAATAGTTGGATCGGTTTAGAATTTGTACGAGGGATCGGCCGTTAGCAAATTGGTGTAATGTGCGCAATTCTAAGGAACATACTGATTAAAAGCCCGACCAAACTATCGGCCGACTTAAAGTTTATAGCCTGCGGGGTGTCTTAATGAAAGATGCCAAGTCGAGTGGTTTTGGAAGAGTAGAATTGAACCACTCTTCCAGTGGATGTCGTAAGAGGAGACTTTACGAATATCAGGACTCTCCAACCCGTTTGGCCAGCGTGGAGAGTATAGGCCTAATCTATACTATCTATACTAATGTTATAAATACGAAAGTAACTCTGTCTGTCTGTCTTGCTTTCACGCCTAAACCACTGAACCGATTTTGATGAAATTAGGCATAGAGATAGTTTGAGTCCCGGAAAAGGACATAGGATAGTTTTTATTGCGGTTTTTGATACAGGGACGCGCGCGATAAAGTTTTTCTGTGACAAAATTACACGCGGGCGAAACCGCGGGCGGAAAGTCCTCCATAATTTGTCTTTTATAATAATGACTGATGATAATGATGATTTAATGGTCTATATCAACAAGAAGTAAATATAACAATAGATTTTTCATTATAGTAATTCTTGACTATTTTTTAAGATCAAAACGGTTGCTACTTACATCTGTTTTCATTTGACGTGTACCTTATACGGCAACATGTTGCATATAAAACGTATACACTAGGGATTATACTTTATCAACAATCTTTAATATTGTCAGACCAAACCGAGCCATACGAAGGTAGCTCGATAACATCAAGTAGGTGGAACCAGTAAGGACATCTAACAGTTAGCGACCTAAAAGCATGGAGTAGGAGTTTGATTTGGATTTTAAATTAGCTTAGCTTATTTTGATATAAATCACAAGCATAAAACACTGTTTTATCTATTCCTTTAAATGTTTATACCATACTAGCTGTGCCGCGACTTCGTACGCGTGAAAAGAGTTTGAATAATATTTCCCGTTTTTGCAACATTTTTCTTTACTGCTCCGCCCCTATTTTTACAACTTGTTTGTATTTTTGTAACTTGTTCAACGCAATATGTATTTTGCTATAAATAAATATTTTGAATTTGAATTTGAATTATTGGCTTTAGGGTGATGTTATACGAGTATAGCCTAAAGCCTTCTCGATAAATGGGCTATCCAACAGAAAAATATATTTCTAATCGGACCAGTAGTTCTAGAGATTAGCGCGTCCAAGTAAACTAACAAACTCTTCAGCTTTATAATACGACNGCGCGGCTCGCGGCGCAGGTAGCGCTCGGCCAGCGCCAGCGCCGCGGCCGCGCCCGCCGGGCCCACCGCGCTCAGCGCCGCCGCGCGCGCCGTGATCATCCGCATCGCCGACGCCTCCTGCGGCCATAACACACATCTCTCGCTTTAGTATGTCGTATAAATAACTAAAGCTCGGTCTGCGAGCACGTAAAATTTTGTCCAATGACCCCAAGCTACTGCTGCCCCAAGCCCCGCTGTGCGACGGGCGCCCCCAGTGAGTGTGCGAGCGCGACAGCAATATAATTACGCGCGAGCGATAAGGATGGGTAGCTTGGGATCATTGGACAAAATTCTACGTGCTCGCAGACCAGACTATAGAATGCAAAGTGTATTTAAATCTTATAGAACGTTTATTATGTATCACAGTCAATCTGGGTACAAATTTTCGACCAAAGTGCACACGTAGCAGTTATCTAAGTGCACAATGTCAAGCTATTCGAGTTCCAGTAGCGTGATTTAACTTAACCGGCATAAGATAGAAACCGACCGGACTATCAGCTCAGCCTAATCGAACAGTCATTTGAGGCCGTCAGCGCAAAAGTGGCCTAACCCACATTTTTCATATTCGTACTTATCTATAGCAATTTATTCAAAACCTAATAAATGTTGATGCTAAAGCGGCCAATCCCTAGTTTCACCCTTATTTAAGAGATGGGGCGTTGTGAACATTCTTTTTGCGCGCATTGTTTTTGCCTACGAAGCAGTAAAAAAGTGGCCCAACCAAGTTTAGGCTCCATACTAATATGTTAAGCTTAGGCCACTTTTGCGCTGACAGCCTCATTTGATATCTTGAGTTTGGCGTGTGGCACAGTGGTTCGTGCTACGTTGCTGCGTTCTGCGTGCTGCAGATCCGTAGGAGAACCAGAGTGACTGACATAGCCCGCAGAATCGCTAAAATCAAGTGGCAGTGGGCGGGGCAGATAGCTTGAAGAGCTGATGGCCGCTGGGGCAGGAAAGTTCTTGAGTGGTGACCACGAGCTGGAAGACGTAGCGTGGGCAGGCCTCCCACTAGGTGGACCGACGATTTGGTGAAGGTCGCGGGAGGTACCTGGATGCGAGCGGCGCAGGACCGGTCTTTGTGGAAATCCTTGGAGGAGGCCTTTGTCCAGCAGTAGACGTCTTTTGGCTGAACGAACGAACAGTGGTTCACCTCATAAGCAGCACCTATGTATATTACACCGGGGCCGGGAATACGGGCCGAGACGAGAGTACTTACCGGGCGGTCGTGCCCGCAGTAGTCGACGAGGTCCAGCAGCGCGTCGTGGTCGCCGCAGTAGTGGCCGCCGTCCTGCAGCTGCTCCAGCGCCGTCAGCAGCGCGTGCGCGCACGTGTGGATCAGCTCGTTGGGCGGCTCGAACATTTCTGCGGACGGGGAGCCATGGTTAATAATAAAAGGTGTTCATCCTAGTTTATGATATTATTTAGCAATGTCTGAAATGTATCCTCCATATATCACAGAAACTAAAGGGAGATGTGAAAAGGGGGCGGGGCCAGTGTCGCAGCAATATGCCCAAAAACAGAAAACATTGCCCGCGACAGCAATGACTGGATGGCGAGCAGCACCTCGTACGTCACTACGGGCCGCTGGAGTATATGTATACAGTGTACTGACTGTCCTGCTCCAGCACGCGCCGGATGATGTGCAGCACGGAGTCCCAGGCGGGCTCGTGCAGCTCCTGCGGCGCGCGCGTCACGAGGCTCTGGATGGCGAGCAGCACCTCGTACGTCACTACGGGCTGTTGGATCTCTAGCGCCTGGGGACAGAAACACATCGCATTAGTGAGGTATACAAATTGAGGTTAGCACACAAAGTTACACAGTCACGAAGTACACAGGAGTCTTGAGTTTCACCTTGAGAAACGGGACTATTCCCACCTCTCGTTCCCACCGCTGCAACTCCTGTGTAGCCAGGATCTACAGCTTGACCGCCATAAAAACCCAACCAATGAAGGTCAAGTTTGTCCCGGGGGTAAGTTAAACTATCATTGGACCCGCAACGAAATGAATCAGGAGTTCGAAATTAAGGTTCAACTTCCCTCCATTGCAAAGCGGATGACAGGTGACAAACAAAGGTTTAAAACCTTTAAGAAAAGAGTATCACCTTGAGGAAGGCGGGCAGCACGGCCAGGTAGGAGACGTGCAGCGCGTGCACGCGGCGCGGGCCCCACAGCGCCATGCTGATGTAGAACACGGCGCCGCGCACCAGACCCGCGTCCCCGCCGCCCCCGCCGCCGCCCGCCCCTCCCCCCGCCTCGCCCGCGTTGTTCAGGACTTCCACCAGCTCCTGCAGCGTGGCGTGCCCGATGTCGGCTCCAAGAACGCTGCGCATTAGCTGAGGACAGAGAACAGTCATTGGGTTGAAGACACTAATTCAGTGGTTCCCAAACTTATTTAGTCTACTGCCCACTTTGAGAGTAAATTATTTTTTAGCGCCCCCCATTTTTGTAGTCAAGAGTCGAGCTCGGTCGATGTCTAAGAGTCCTCCTAGTAGATGACGCCTCCCAAGCCTCTACACAACGTCCCGAATTTTTTTCTGGGTCTCTTACCGCCCCCCTTTAAGCCTGCAGCGCCCACAAGGGGGCGTTATCGCCCACTTTGGCAAAGACTGCACTAATTAATTGTGAACTATGTTTTAGAGCTAAAATCAAGTATTTTTTATTACCATAACCAGGTTTCGGAGTGGTTCTCATCGGCGAGATACCAAGGCGGTAACTGTGCTATTATGGTTTGATTTTTTTTAACCACAACGAGGAAGCTCTTGGCCTGTATCTCACCTGATGGTAAGCGATGATCAGGCCGAAGGTGGAAGCGAGCTTCACCCGGAATCCTCAACCACGGAGGAACTGGCTATCTTACCTCTAACTGCCGGAACCACAACAATGCTGTTAACATTGTTGTTATGACTTAGGTGAGATCGTGGTAGCTAGCCAGGCGGACTTAGAACAAGCTCTACCACCAACCAAACCGAACAGAAAAATCTGCCCTCATTGGGAATCGAGCCCGGGACCTCTGCGTCTGAAGCAGGTCGATACACTAGATCACAGAGGCGGTTGATGCAGATTTTCGTGAACTGGCCAGCAACCGCGCGTCTGTCGCTGTCTGAAGGCCAAAATAGTGTCAGCTAAAGAATAACATAGCGGCGCAGGACCGGTCTTTGTGGAAATGCTTGGGGGAGGCCTTTGTCCAGCAGTGGACGTCTTTCGGCTGAAACGAACGAACGAAAGAATGACATAAAGTAGTGCCAAGGTGTACCTTCCAGCTGCTCTGGCAGTAGTGCTCGAGGTTGACGGTGCGGCAGAGCGCGGCCACGAAGGCGGCCAGCGCGGCGCGCGGCAGCAGCGAGTACGACACCACCGCCTCCAGCAGCGACAGCCCGCACAGCACCACGCTCGCCTCCGCCGAGTACGAGCACAGGTAGCACGCGTTGCTGCAACGTGCGACACACGCCCCGCTCAAGTATACTTCTTTTCTTCTTCTTTTTTGATGATGTTGGCAATACACGTCGACGTCGACTTGATTTTTGCCATTTTCAAGTTTATAAGTGATACGAGTTACAAAATGAAATCAAGTAATGATATAATGAAGGATGATAGATGATACCCCTTCCCACCCTATGAGTCTCAGTAAAGTTGTGGTGCTTTACTGATACCTCCTATGGACAACTTGAGAGAACCCGAAGAATCACGATGCACTGTTTTGCTTCACTCGCCCACACTCATGCACGTTCACGACCACTCAATGGTTAATAACCCACCATTATTACACATTAATAGTCGCCTAAACACGAATTTGAGGAAATAAAACAAAACCGCTAACATGACGCTTCAGATTCCAAGAAGTCAATATACTTCTTGCAACACATGCTTACATGTGTACGTCTAAAGCCCGGTCTGTGAGCACGTACAATTTTGTCCAATGACCCCAAGCTACCCATTAGTACCCATCCTTATCGCTTGCACGTAATATTGCTCTCGCCACTGTGCGACGGGCGCCCGCAGTCAGTATGCGAGCGCGACAGCAACATAATTACGTGCGAGCGATAGGGATGGATAGCTTGGGGTCATTGGACAAAATTCTACGTGCTCGCAGACCAGACTATATCAAAACTTTTGAATAACGAACAGTAGCGTGTAGTGAGGTTAGGTGGCACATGTAAGTAAAGCTCACTCGCCTTTTGTGAATTGCAACAACTATACTTACTGAAGTATTAACCTAGTTCGCACTGGTCAAGTAATTTAGGCGAGTGGTGAGTAAAAGACAATGCCGGAAATTGGCGTCTTTTTTTTTTCGCGCGGCCATCGACCAAACTTAGTTTTTTGATTACAAAATAGTGTAATAAACCAAACTTACTATGACATGTATACCTCTAAACTCAGTCTGAACTGAGTTACGAGCATTAGAAGTTTGATGATTTTCATACTAGATTTGCTTTTTGCGCGCAAAGTTTTGTAAGAAATTGCAACAAAATAGTGAGATTGTATGTGTAAACAAACAATATCATCCATTAAAGGCTCCAGACATCAGTATGGGGCAGAATCAGCGCAAGAAAAAAATAGCGCAATATTTTGTTGCAATTTCTTACAAAACTTGCGCACAAAAAACAAATCTAGTATAAAATTTATATTGTTCGGTGCTTAATCTCTAGACTCTATTCAATTGATTTTTGTTTTTACTAGTGTATAATTACCCTAACATTGTTAAAAGAAATGCTGTGTATACCTGTAATTGAGGTCATATACGTATCATGTGTTAAACCATGTTAAAATGTATGAACTGTATTATGTATGTGACTTTGTTGGTGTACCTAATAAATAAATAAATAAATAAAATCATCAAACTTCTAATGCTCGTACCTCAGTTCAGACTGAGTTTAGAGGTATACATGCCATAGTAAGTTTGGTTTATTACACTATTTTGTAATCAAAAAACAAAGTTTGGTCGATGACCGCGCGAAAGAAAAAAGACGCCACTTTCCATACAAAATCTGGCATTGCCATTTAGCAACTAAATGTGTCAGGACACTAAAAATTTAGTCGAGTAAGTTACTAAATCGATCGAGATCCACTTACTTACCGGCTAAACGAGTCCGAACCGGTCAATTTAGTCGAGTTCATATAAAAAAAAACACTTAATCACTTGTAAACCGTACTCGACCATATTGCGAACGGTTTTTTGGTCAGTAGCGAGTAGTTCAGTTAATAAAGGCGAGTTACTTTACTAAATTACTCGACTGGCGCGAACAAGGCTTAACGCGTTGACCTAAGTCAGCCACGAGACGCGATAAGCACGTTCCCAGTTTGCGACGGATCATTGCGTCGCATCGTATCGCGATCGTTGCTGACTTGGACATCGTTTATGATATAACTTTAACTAAGTAATAGACTAATAGCTGGTGAACGCCAGACCTACGTCATTTTATAAAAGCTGAAAGTTTGTCAGCGTATGCTCCCAATATAGGATAGAATGTTGGTGAATGATGAAGTTTGGGTTATCGTGGCTTTGGCAGCTATCCTAAAAAACTGTCTGGCAAGGAGTTGGAACTGTCAAAACTGTCTGGCTGATGTGGAAACAACTTCTAATCATTGCCCAAATATTATGCATAAAAACCAGATTTTCAGAAGTTGTTTCCACATCAGCCAGACAGTTTTGACAGTTCCAACTCCTTGCCAGACAGATTTTTAGGATAGCTGTCAAAGCCACGATGACCCAAACTTCATGATTCACCAACTTTCTATCCTATATTGGGAGCATATGATGGCAAACTTTCAGCTTTTATAAAATGACGTAGTTCTGGCGTTCACCAGCTCTTAGTCTATAAGAAGTGTTGGCACACAGGAATAGGTTTTGACAGACTGGAGAACGATGGCGCTTTTGTTCAGCAACAGAAGTGGGTAGATGGAATATAACAAAACTTATTTCTCACACCTAAAAACATGCAAGGACAAAAATACCATGTAAATTAATACATTTATTGTATTTTTACAGAAAACCATGTTTGTTATTTAAAACAATTTCGAAATTACAATAATATACCCACATACAGAATAATAACAAAAGAAATTAAAAAATGTTAACATTAGGCATGTAATCTCTAAAGATGATTATAATAATATTCAAGATATTTCACACACGCCTCCAATCCCTCAAAACAAATCTTGGGTAGGTACCAAAACTACAGATAAAATACTTTACTTAATTTTTTTATATAAAATTAAAGTGCATGTAATTTGGTGCCAAATAAACATTTTTTCTTTCTTTCTAAAATATTGTCAATATCGAAACAGAGACAAGTTGAGAGCATAAGTCGGTTTGGGGCGCCGGCCGCGCTCAATGGTCGCCGTCTGCCGCCATCAATATTTTCCTTCAGCTTCAGCCGCGGCCGAAGGGCGTAAGCGACACGCAAACACTCAAAAATAACTCTGCATACATCTCGCGTAGGTAAACATAATCCACCTTGTTATTGTTGACGTTCAGGCTATCATCGCATTGAATCTACTCTAGTCTAGTCTATTTCGAACTTATTCACTATTATTTAAACCAATGAACTCACACACTACAAAAAAATACAACATTCACATTGAATATTGTTTTCTTTGTCCACATTTATGTAAACATCATTCTATTATAGGCCATTGTGAGAATCTTGTTAATAAAATTACAATTGTGCAGTAGCACTAAAGCTAGTTTACAAAATAAGCCTGTGTGGTTCCAGAATGGCAAAATAACAGTGTGTATTATCATCTGTATAATATAATTATTTTATTTTGAATCTATCACCAATTCCTAATGGTCTCTATAGACTTGCATAATTTGTGTTTTGGATAGAAAAAAAATATTAATTTAATGACACATTCTAATAACTATAAATAAAAATGCTTACTTGACAATTCCATGTACAATTTCTTCATCAAGGTATGTGGCATTAAACTTGACCACGTTGATTATGAGCTGGAGGAACTCTACAATTTGTGTCGGATTCTGGATCTGTGGCAGCCATTCCAAGAGGAATGCTCCTATCTGGAATGACAATCTTGTATTAGAAGCTGGGTGATAATTTTAAAACTAGTAGCGCAAAGATACACTCATAATAGAAATGCACTAATTTATTACTATTGTTGCCACAAATGAAACATAAAAAGTTTTAATTGAGAATGTCAAATCTTATAAAATGAATTGCAAAATGTGTTGGTAAGCGCATAACTCAACAACACCTGGATCAATTATTTTTTTTAATGTTTGTTGAATCCAAGGATGGTTTTTACGGCGAGATTTGCTAAATTAGATACATTATACAGTCTAACAAAATATTAAAAAATAATCAATAGATATGGTACAGCCAACAGCACATAAAACTATACACTTTTGTTGCAAGATAGCTCCTATTACAATTACATTAAGGTTCCACAGTGTTCAGGTTGACGTGCCATCGTTTGGACAAAGTCAAAGCGACTCACCAGTTCTTCAAAGCATTTGATATTTTTTCCCGTGTTTGTGAGCGTGTGCAGCAGCTTGAAGCGCAGCGGCGCGTCCTCGGGCGCGTGCGCGGCGTGCGTGTCGCGCAGGTAGTGGAACAGGATGGTGCGCATGATCAGCAGCTCGTCCGCCTGCCCCTCCGCCAGGCAGCGCAGGAACGCCAGCGCTGCGTGCCTGTTCTCTGCGTTCGGGTCATCCAGGAGGTCTCTGGTGCAGGACCACAGCTTTTTCACTGAACCCTTTATTTATAGAAATAACAAATGTTGTAATGTGTGATTCTATTGCATAAGATTTTGATTTTATTTAAAGTGTACTTTTTCCATTAATAACATTTTAGTATCGGTTTGTCGGCATCAGTTTCTGCATAAAACATTCTTTTTATGTAAATATCAAACTTCTTTAGGATTGAAATGGTACTCGTAATCAGATAACAATGATAAAACACAGTGCATTGTTTTGATGTTGAGCAATGAAACATTATTTTGAATGTGAATTCCATGCACATCAAAATAACTGATGCGATTTTTTAATCAATTAAATGATAACACAAGGTGTGCCACAATAAAATGCATCCATCACATGAGAAATATTAATGTGGGTATGACAATAAAAATGTATGCAGTTTGTATTGCTACCTCCGAGATGCGGATGACGAGCGCCTTCTCGCCGAGCTCCTTCATGGCGCGCAGCCGGCGGTGCAGCGGCGCCTCCGCGCCCAGCTCGCGCTCCAGCTCCGCCGACACCACCAGCTCGCTGCGCGCCGGCAGCGGCGCTGCAACACACGCGCCCGTCAGTCTGCGCCCCGGCCACCCGCCGCAAGACCCGCCCGACCCGTCCCCGATACGCACCCGTTCCTCCCTTTTTGAAGAATACTTTCAACATGTCTTGAAGTATTTTCGTGTCCTTGTCTTTCGGATTCATCTTTGTGCGGTGACGATGTTCGCTCCCGTCTGCGAATGTGCTCAGGCCCGAGGCTAGGTGTGGTGATTACCTATGATTGTAGAATAGCAAGTAAAAAGACATATTTATTAAAAAATATTCACACTACCGCTCCTGCTTTGCTATTCACCATTTGACAGCTTCTTTTACTTACAGCTGACAGGTTGCATTCTGTTCGATACGATTTCTGAACGAATAAAAATATTTATCCCAACTAATATTATAAATGCGAAAGTAACTCTGTCTGTCTGTCTGTCTGTCTGTCTGTCTGTTACGCTTTCCCGCTTAAACCTCGCAACCGATTTTGATGAAATTTGGCATAGAGATAGTTTGAGTCCCGGGAAAGAACATAGGATAGTTTTTATCCCGGTTTTTGAAACAGGGACGCGCGCGATAAAGTTTTTCTGTGACAGACAAAATTCCACGCGGGCGAAGCCGCGGGCGGAAAGCTAGTTTTTCGATAGTTCTACGGGACGTAACTTAATTTTAATTGTTATTTATTGCAACTATTAGTTAATCATTATTATTTGTGGAAATTAAATTAAAATTTCCACATGAATAATCACTTAGCATTTTAATTGTTTATCCAGATTCCAGAATACTGATTTTTGAACGAAGTCAGGAGGAGTGTTGCCCGACTAAAAATAGAAATACACTTCTGTGGGTCTAGTCAAAATGCCATCGCAAATCAATGGGAAGTTTTCACTAATGTCAGTCGCCGCGTCACCAGTAGAGATGGGTTTCCACCCGGGTAAAAACCCACATGAGGGTAAAAACCCAATAAAAACCCGTTTCATTCCACCCGTGGGTGTTTACACCGGGTGAAAACAAATAATTTTATAATTATTTCAATTGGTATCTTTTCTTTATTTTTATTGAATTTTTCTCATTTAAGTTTATTGATTAATAAGTAATAAGTCAAATTTAACACTAATATGCATTTATATCGTGGCCAAATCGTAAAATTGATCACGTTATGATGATGTTGTGACCAATTATTTTATAAAATGGTGTTATTTCAAGAATCGTTGAACCGATTTAGAAGAAATTTAGTAGGAACACAATAATTTGTGATCATGGCAAGGACATGGAGGGGGGGATACCCTGAAATTAATCATGTTCTAATCTAGTTCTGTTACAGAAACTCGAAAACTTTCATCACATAGCGCCATTGGTAAGTAGTCACCAGGAGCTAATAAACAAGTCTCTCACCAGATGCTGTGCATCGTCACATGCCGAATAATAGTACAAGTTTTACAAAACAATAAAACTTGTATTATTGAGCAGAGACGATGCACAGCATCCCAAGAAGGCCTCCTGGTGAGCTCTCTATGAAGAACTCCGAGCAAGCTCGCCCCCAGGTGACTAAAATGGCGGCAAACGGAAGTAAGTCAAATCAATTCCTATTAAATAATTGCGGAAATGACGTCATTTAAGGTATAAAATGGTAAAAAACTACACCGGAAGTAGACGCATCTCTCACCAGATGCTGTGCATCGTCTCTGCTCAATAATATAAGTTTTATTGTTTTGTAAAACTTGTACTATTTTGTGCCTTAAAAATCTACATGGTCCTTCGAGCCGGATGAATCAGTAAGTGCCTTAGTAGAATGTGTCTAGGTTGACACATAAACAACAACATTTCAAGTATTCACCAGTCACGTCACTTTCGTATAGTGGATATAGATTCAGACAGTCTCATAGTATAATACAAGCTTGCCGGCANGCGATTTGTTTATTTGTTTGCGACTGGTTTGCGATGGGTTTGCGATTTTAAAGTGCGTTTTGACTAGACCCGCTGTATCCATCGAATAGATGGCGCAGTAAGCAACCCTGCGCCAAAGCGCCTCTTGTGGCCTTGCGGTAGGTTTATATTTTTTGTGTATTAGTCAAAAGCTCAATAGATGGCGTGATGATATTCTTAATACGATTTATACCAAAACTAAATCACTTTATAACGAAGCTGCGAAGTTTCGTAAGGTCAGCAAAGAACGGGTATTAACTTAGGTACTAACAATTATCAATTTAAAAAAACATTCGTGAAGGAGCAGCTGCGCGCAGATAACATACGAGTAATACTAAATTATTTGTGTACAATCAAAGGATACAATAGCAGATACAAATAACTGCAGTTAAGTAGGTAGGTAGACAAACTACATTTTCCTTTTTTCTCACTACTTTTAGATAAGTACTTAAGCGGATAAAATTGTGTGAGCATAGATAGATACTCGTAGAGCATGATAAATGCCGCGGTCGGAAGCTTCTCTCTCCTGAGCTTGTAACACATGCAATTAATTTGCTTACACCTGCCGTTTTATACCTCGCAGCCGGGAGCGGGGAGTCCCTCAGGTAATATAGGAGCGTTTAATCTGGCCGGATGACGAGGGTCGACAATTTGCCTCACCTCTGACACGGACAGACGTGTAGCCACCGCCGTAAATACCTGCGCGACGTGGATTTATTGTTAAACATATTATTACTATCACAAGTAGGTACAACATAACATACTTCGCATTAATGGTCAACCTATGTTAAGGAAATGACATTGTGATTTGGTAGGTAGGTAAGTTAATACCTAAGTAGGTACCCTACCTATGCAACTTTTTAACGTCCTAAGTTTAAAAAAAATGTCGTTATTAATTAAAAAAATTAAATGTTTTATTAGTGACACGAAAGTAAGTAGGAAGGTATAAGTATAAGTACCTAATGTTTTTAAAAGTCAATTGCCAACAATGCATAGCTCTGGAATTGTATTAGCTCAGACAGCGTTGTACAAAAATATTGAAATTACTATAGTTAAGTAGTTTGGAACACTCCCAGCAAATAAAATTTTTGGTCGGATTGAAAAATAGTTGTTCAAGAGGCCGTGCCTTTGGCTCGGGGCAGCGAGTAGGCGCGGGCTGCTAAGGCCTTATTCTGCAAAACGATTTCGATATTATCGGTTCTACTTATGTGTCACTCTCATTCATAATAGCATCACAGGATGAGCGAGAGAGTACGTGGAAACTTACACAGTCGAAAAGACTAAAGGTCGTTAGCGGAATAGGACGACCAACTGTGCATTCGTTCAGTTTTGAGCATTCGGAACAACGCGCGGAATCCGTCAGCATTTTAAGCAGTAATGGCCAAACTGGCGGGAAACAGAGCTGCGCCCAAATTGCGTTCAGCTTACTCCATGCACAGCTCAGTTAAGTAGGTAGACTATTCAAATAGTTTTTCATTTGTATTGGCTGGCTTTTACCTATTAGGTACAGTCGACAGCACATCAGACAAGTTTTTTTGTAGGTATACCTCATACCATCTCTAACACCTAGGTACAGCGACATACAATCAAGTGTTACAATCTTAAAAGAAACTAGGACCTTATACCCAACTGCTGCTGCGTTCTTCTGACGAAGTAAAAATGAACGAACGTCAATATAAAGTCCATTATTCGAGAGTATTATTTATCCGCCGGATGAGCGCCGAATCTCCATTTGAACCGCCTTTAAAACTTTATATTAGCCTCGTAAAGAATAAGAGGAAATTGTAAGCCCATAATGCAAAAAGTGCTTAAACGATATACTTAGTCAAATTGAATTTCCTCTGAGGAAAAAATAAGGAGCAGCGAGTTGTGTCGCAAACTCGCGCGAACTTCTAAACCCGAGTCTGTTTGTATTGCAGATTCCGACGACAGATTTTTTCCATTAGCCGTTCGACTACGGCACGGTTCAATGTTTACAACACTCTTTTTCGCTTTGAACCAATGTTCACTTCACGGCTTTATTGGATCACTCTGCATTTTAAAGTGGTCTCCTAATGTCTCCTAATCTAAAAGTAAAGGCAATAAGAATTTGATCATCGTTAATCATCTTAGTGATCCTTATTTGATCATGCATCTTGTGAAGTTTGAAATTTTCATCTATGCCAGTGACGTCACTCCTCAGTGTCACCCATTGTGTCACCCATAATGCACTCGCGTTTGTCAATGGTATTAGTACAAAGAAACAGTCGTGCTTGTCATGTTTCCTATTAGACATGTATTTACAAAATTAAAACAAGTCGCTGTGAGTGCTGTCCGTATTAGATTGGATCATGTCGTATTCGCCGCGTGTCTCGTGGCCTTCGTGTGGCTGTGCTGGGGCGGGCTCGAGTCCACGTCCTCCTACGTACCTAGTCACTTGCAGAAGTACTTACTGTTTCCAGAAGACTATAAGATTCTAGAGAAGCAATTAAGCAAGGCCGAGCTTAAGAAGTTGACGCTTAAAGTGGAACAGCTGAACGCCCACGTCGAAGTGATCAATTGGGATAAGTATCGCCCAGTGAACTCGGAGACGACCATAATTGTCATACTCGTACATAAGGATGTGGAGCGCCTGCAGCACCTCATCATATCTCTGGGCCAAGTGCACGGTATTCACCAGGTCCTTATAATATTCTCGCACAGTTACTTTGAAACCGTAATAAATGATCTCGTGAAAAGCATCGATTTTTGTAAAGTGATGCAAATTTTCTATCCACACTCCTTGCAACTGAACCCGAACAAATTCCCGGGGATCGACCCCACCGACTGTAACGCAACGTCTCTCCTGGAGGACATCGGCTCGCCGGGCCGGCTGCACTGCGTCGAGCGCGACGCGCGCCGCACGCAGCGCAAGCAGCACTGGTGGTGGACGGCCAACTACGTGTTCGAAGCGCTCGAGTGGAGCTCCAGCAAGCAGATGACCGTGTTCCTCGAGGAGGACAGCTACGCGCTGCCCGACCTGCTGCACATGCTGGAGTTCGCGCGCCGCGTGCTGCCCTACTTCCCGGCCGTGCAGCTGCTGGCGCTGGGCCGCCCGCCCGCCGACGACCTCGAGTACGACATGCTCACCGTCGACGCCTGGAGCCCGCCCTACGACCGCGGGCTGGCGTTCAACAAGACCACGTGGCGCAAGATCGCAGCGCGAGCCTCGCTGTACTGCTTCTACGACGACTGCAGCTGGAGCTACTCGCTGGTGCACCTGTTCAGGAATTTCACGGACGGGTTCGCGGAGATGGCGGCGTGCTCGGCGCCGCGCGTGCTGTCGACGAGCGTGTTCGCGAGCGGGCGGCGCGCGGCGCGGTGGGCGGCGCGGCGGGCGGCGCGGGCGGCTCTGTTCCCGGCGGCGGCGCGCGCGAGCGTGACGGTGGGCGAGCGCGGGCGCGTGCGGCGCGCGTGGCGACCGGCGCGCGGCAACGGCGGCTGGGCCGACCCGCGCGACCAGCTGCTGTGCCTCAAGCCGCTCGCCACCACCGCCAACGATGCAGCCATCGAAACCACTCTGCCATCGAAACGAAAATTCAAAAATATTACGATATGGTTTAAGTAATTCTTGAAGTTTATTTTGTAAAATGAGTTTGCTTTGGCTAAAAACATTTTTTTTTGTAGATGTATGCTAAATTATTATTAATTGATCATCATTTTCCACCAGCTGCCATCAGGTGGATGCAGGGCAAAAGCTTTTTCTGTTGTGGATAAAAAATAATACTACAAATTGTCAAAATTTTCTCTACTCGTTGACATTTTCATCATTTCCATCGAAAAGGACCGTCACAATCGCAAGTAGGTAGTTGGTCTAATGTATCAGTCGCAGTTTAAATAAATAAAGCCCGGTAATCTAGTTTTAGATGTTTTATTCACAATTTATTTATTCAAAATATTGTAATTAAAGTCAACGCTCGTTCACATTTAAATCAAATGGAACTGAACGATCACGATTATGTAACTTATTACATATATTATGATTCTCATCATAATAATTTTAATACATTATGTATGACGGCCCACAGTCACTCTGAAATTTCAATGATCTCATAATTTTGAGAAACTCTTGAGTGTTCGCTACTGAAGTAAGTTCTAAACATAAAGTTGTGAATTTCCATCTGTGCGTCATTAGAATTCAGGGAACTCGACCAATCTCTTTGAATGGCCTCATTTTTATTCAGAAATCAAGTCCGACTCCACTGGCCGCTTATGGCCGTAAAGCACTCTATTCATTCACCAAATATATTTTTATTGTCCTGTCAGGCATTTTGGAATTGGCGAATGGAGGTCCCTAACCACTGCATTTTATTGTTTACCTATACTGTTTTTATTATGAAATTTTTGATTCCTGCAAGGTTACTGTTTGATACTTTTTACTGTGCAAATCAATTACTCATATCAATCAGTTATTGCTTGACCACATTAGCACATTCACATTTCTTGAGTTTATTCATATTATAGGTGGTATAACTCAAGCGGTTACAAAACATGGACGCAGTCAGGGCACAGGCGCACAGCAACTTTGGAAGGACAAAGTTAATTAGTAGAAAGACAATAGCCTCACTTCGGAGTGTTCCGCATCGAAAGATAAAATAATTGTCCTTATTGATTCGTGTCTGTTATTTTTGTAGCGATTTTTGTTCCGATCGGCCATAACTATGAAGCTCCTCAAATATGCATTGCGCCATTACGTATTCCGCGGCGTCCCGGTCCCGGCGGACCCCGCCGCAAGGTGTGCCGGCTCGTTGTTTGCTCTCATATAAGTAAGTAACTGTCACTGTATTGATGTGCTCGGTTTAACGTTAAAGTGGTCCCGCGAGGCATCCTACTTCAAATAAAACAATGAACAGGAGACCCGGCCGACTTCCTGTTCGCACGTGAAGTAGATTATACTTATAATGCGCCTATTTTTTGGCTATTTTTTACTGTCATTTAATTTTATTTTATACATCAAGTCCACATACAATTAGTTAATTATTGATCTCTACATTTTTTTTAAATTGTTTTTGTTTGTGTAACTTCCTTTACATAAAGTGATTTTCATTTTCATTTCATTTAAGTATATCCTAACGAAATGTTTCGTCGACGGAAACGAATCCATTCCAGGCTTCCAGCAAAAGCTTCTACTAAAACCCTCCCAATGCCAAACAAGTATGGCCTTTATGCACCACTTGATAAAGTTGAAGGGTTATTGAACATGTTAATTGAGGCCAGTCTAGCACGTCAGGTGAACTACGAATCTACGGTGGGGAATCCGGGAATTTCATTTGTGCAGCCCGCATGGATCGTGCCTTACAAGTACAGGCATCCGCAGTCCACGTCCACTCGTTTCCTCTTTGCCTGTAGTAGTTAGAAGGAGTATATTGTCATTTCTGGTATGCTGCTGATTGTACTCCGAGCCGTCTAGCAGAGCTTTATGGCACTTCTCGCTGGCGAAATACGAGTACAAGTGCGGTGGTTCGTTTCACTGGGAAATTGCGTGTTGCTCCTCGCTGTTGCATTGCTCTTTGATGCGAGGTGGCCGCTCCTGGAGAAGGAAAATAAAATTTAAAGCAACTGAAACTTAGAGAATCTACAAGGAGCAGGTGTACATGAATTTTTAAAATAAACCACGTGCAGAACGAATCCTACAAAACTATTAAAAGTTACGAGTTCCTACTCGTAGTTGCTTGCGTTTCCTCAGATACGAGTAAGTAATTTATTTTTAAACTTAGTCGCCGTTAGGATTATGAGTGATCACTGATTATGTACTTGATATTAGTTGTACAGTAAATAAAAGTTTGTAATTGAATAAAGCAACTAGAGCGTTAATGATGCTGAGCCATTTCATCTTGGCCGAGAATGATACTTAGTGTGGGTAGGGCGGGTCGCGCCTCGCATTGTCCCGCGAGCGTGGTCCGTTTGTGCATGAGCCGCTGAATATTCATGTGCGACCGCGGCCCCAGCCCCGCGCCCCGCGCCCCCGCTTTCAGGACAATAAACGCGTTTCTTGTTCACGTAAGTGAGCGCGTGCGATAGCGTAATGTAGAGGTACTTAGTTATCGAACAAACGTTTAAGTTTTTTTTTTTTCAATACTCAAATCTTTATTGCATTTCATAGTGTACATTAGGTCTTAAATATATAATATTATATAAGTTGAGCAGGGTTTGACCAGGATATCCTTATTTAGTTTACTAAATATGAAACTTTTACATAATATACGACCTATGCTTTGTTTTGTAAGTTGACCTATACAATACATAATTTTATGCAGGTCATAATCGTCGCCGTCTTAAAACTGGATTTAGAAAATAAATCCACCTAAGACACACCACTGGATACATGGAACCTGCGCGCTGCGATGTTGGCTCAGCTCGACGCATGGCTCCGGTCGCATTAGCTGAAGGATGTAATTGGTAGAGGCATTAAGAGCGCCGTTTGTATTCGTTATGGCCAATAAAGTATAAATAACTAATAGGATGGGGTACAATTTCCATACATTTTCAGGCTAGTTTCTACCATTACTAAGTTTATAAATAACTTACATAGAGTAGGTGCTTTAGCTAGCTTTTATTAACAAAATCCAAGTAAACCTTAAACAAGATTTCTAAACAAAAAATCTTAAATAGTTATTTGTTTAAAAATATTCAATTTATAATAATTTATAATAAGAGATGTACCAGATATTACTTTGTTAGTACCTACTTACCTAGGTACCTACCCCTAGGTAATTATTAATCGCTTGTTTTGCTTGCTTTGCACAAATGCATACTGTAAAAAAAAAGTAAACTGTCCCAGGAATCAAGTATTATTCTGCCGTTATACACCTATTATGATCACGCGCACGGTGTCACACGACATTAAAAAGTATCTCGTCGATATTATCTGTGGCATACACAGCGTTCCAAATTTAAAATTTTGTTAGGTCTTAGTAAATACTGTGTAATGTTTTAACGCTGACAAATTGATGTGAAAAATAATTAGTTTGGAAAGTGTTTAGTGATTAAGTGAAATGTGCTGTCGTGAATTTTATTAATTATGTATAGTGATTATCTTAATCCTTTTTGTGGTGATCAACGAAACTGCTGATGCTGAGAGTTCGTTGCGGCGGTCCGGTCGCGGTGAGGGGAAACGTCAGGCCATGTGCAAAGGTTAGTGCCATTTGTATATTATTAAGAAAGCATGCCTTCGTCAGGTTTCAAATTAGTAATTTTGTAACCCCTTTACAGCGCAGTAGCAGCAGTAGGTACATACATGTAGGAACTTGGTATTTATTTTTTGTTTACAAAAGACAATATTGAAACAAGCTGAACAATGAAATAAACAAAAAGCAAAATTAGAAATTATCCCAAAGCATTAACCAGTTACAATTAATTAATTCATTATTGAAGGTTATTGACCATTTTTTGCTTGACTTTTTTAACAGTCAATCCAATCGCATGAGTCAATGAGTCTGCAGGCAGGACGTTATATCGTTACTAAAACACAGTTAAGTATAGGTACCTACTTACTTATACTTCACTAAATCAGACCAAAAATTTTACGATCAAATCAACATGTGGAGTTGTTTGAAATGTGTAACATGAGTCCATGAGACGATGAATTTTCACCAACGTGAAATTGCTTCTCGGCTTCCACTCTGACATTGTATTGACAATGTTATCTAATCTAATATGGCTACATTGATTGTGTATCATAGCTGACCGCAGCTCCGGGAGGCTGCACCTGCCAGCTAATTATACCGGAGATAATTATCTGCTAATCTCCTAAGCCCACTGTTAATTGATCTGTCGCGACACGGCTTACCATATTCAGCTGCTATATTGTATTGTACTATTAGTACTATACAAATACTTCGAAGTTCTAATATAATACATGCATACGGGTATCTACAAATTGTAGGTAAAAGAAAAACGTAAACCAATGTGTATATATGTTACGGCTAAAGATAGGTGTGAACATAAACTTAAGATTAGCCGGCTAAACTTAAGTTTATCTTCGACGAGGTGTTAATGTTAGTTTCTTCTATCTTTAGCCGCCTAAACTTAAGTGTAACCGCAGGCCCTTGGCTAAAAATGTAGAAGGAAATGGAAAAGGAAACAATGTAATAATGTTTACTATTTTGACACGAAAACTTTATTAACACGTTCCGACCCTGTACTCCAGTCCAATATGACACTAACAATCTTCACATAAATGTTTCATACACCTATACCCGTACTGTTGTTCACAATATTTTGCAACAACAAGTCTGCTCTCTATGAAACTCTAATGTAAAATCGACGGTTGTTGCCGTAGTGTTTTTAGATTGATTTTCGTGAAAACGGCGAGACCCGTA